AATATAAATTTAAAATTAATTTCCAGAAAACTTTTTAAATTTTTTTAAATTAAATAGAAACAATAAACAAACAAATATTTAATTTCTAAATACTAAATTTTACATTTTTTTTAAAGTTTAGATTCTCTCTTAGGCGGTTTTATTGATTCTTAATTTTACATTTCTACACTTAAAATTTGGTTCTAACCCATTGTAGGAGTTTCAATTTATCTGGAAGTCTAAGGATAAATTATTAATCCAGAAATATTTAACTGTCTATAATTTCCATATGCTTGTTTCATTTATTTAATTTAATTTTATTAGTAATATAAAAAATAGTACAAATGTTAAGTAAGCCTTTATAAAAATTGTTGTAAAACAAGTGACTCAATCTGTTTAATAAAAATTAATTCGAGGTTAATTTTGTTAAAATATATATAAATTATATTCATTGTAATGATAATTTTTATTAAATACGATATATTAATTTTATTTTGTATTTAATGGATATTTATATGGTATTAAATTAATAAATACTTTTTTGTTAAAATATTTTTAAATTTTATAGTTATTAAAAACTAAAAAACTATATAATAATTATTTTCTTAAATAGTTTTTATTTTTTTCTTTTCAGTTTTCAAAAATAAAATTGATTAAAAATATATTTTGTTTAAGTTTTTGAAAAATGATATTTTCACAACCTAAATTCATACCCCTTTAAAAAACAACTCACTTTTAATATTATAATAATAATTATTTTATTTTATTTTATTTTATTTTTTTTTATAAAATCATTTTACCATTATTATATTTAATTAACTAAGAAAACAATGTTTATTTTTATACATAAAAAAAAAAATCTTTTATCTTGATAATGTGTGTATTGCTTTATTTTGGAAAAGGTATATTGATTTTGATTTAAAAAAAAAAACATAAAGAAAGACATGATTATGGTATGTATTTTATATGTAGTCAGTTGGTTGGTCGTTAGGTGGTTTGCTTTCGGTTGAAGGATTGTTTGTTTCGTCGGTTGCTTGACTTATCGATATCTGCGGTCCTTTTCTGTTCCAAGGTTTGACCAAATTTTCACTATTCCTTTCTCCGATTCTTTTTTATTCTCATTTTTATATGTTTTCAAGAACTTTCCGGAATCAACTACTTCTCTTTTTCTCAATCCCATTCTCTTCACCTTCGAATATCCTTTTCTTCCACACCAAACTTCCTACACCTTTTTATTATCTTTTTCTTTTTTTATATACAAAATTTAAATATGAATTTAAGTTTCGTATTAAATTAAATAAAATAAAAATTAATATTTTTTTTGTTGACAACAATCCCTTACTATTCATTCTCTATTTCCATGATAAATTTTTCATTGAAAGACTCATCACTTCAAAAATTAATATATTTTTTATTAATATTTTTCATAACTATAAAAATATAAGTTTTAATATATGGATACAATTTCATATTAGATTCTAATTATTAATTTGTCAAAATTAGGTGGAAATGAACAGTGTCTTTCCATGCTAGAAACTGTGGCACATTTTGCAATTTTAATAGAGTTTCGACCAGCAAATGCTTTAAATTGGATCGGGTTGTAGAATATATTTTTTTAAGTAAAAAATATAAAACATGTCTACGTATATATATATATACATATTACTAACATATTTTTGTAAAAATTAAAAGTATAAAAAATTATAATTTATTATGTCACAAAGTTAACTCTTGTATAAGGTGTTATTATTGACAGAATTGAACATATAGTAAAAATTGTAGATTTTTTTGAAATTTTAAAAACTAAAACAAATAAGAGATTAAATTGGCAAATGAGGGATTAAAAAAAGTAGATAAAAGACAATTAAGTAATTATTTCAGAAAGAAATAATAATAATAATAAGAAAAAGTAAAGTAACGTGTATTGTAATACAGTATAATGACAGCTTGCATTAGTGAACACGAAATTTGATAATAATTGACGATGTTAATTAAAAATAATAAAATGGAGTTTTGAATTAAAAAAAAAAAAGTTAGCCGTTTTGGTGTCGGCAACTTTAATTAATCGTGATGATTGGTCTTTTTAGTGGCACGAACACGCAAGATTAGAATCTAAAGGCGGAATAGTTTTTGAAAACAATATTATTACCTAAAGCAGGGATCACAACAAGGTACATATTTTACACAATTTTATCTTAATCTTTTATCACATCACAACTATTTACACCTTGAAACAAAATTCCAATAGCATCAATTTCAATAAATATTTTATTTTCAAAATTTAAGTAAAATAAAAAATTGGAAATTTTCAATTAATATTTACCTTTAATTACTATGTTTCTATATTTGGTAGCATTGTCCAACATTAATTCATTTAAATTTTGTTGGATTTAAATTGAGAAGTCACTTGATAAATAGGAACTATGTAAGACTTAATTAGTCTATGTAGGAGATGATTTTCTTTTGGAAACAAGAATTTTTTTTAATAGAATTAAAATATACTAAGATATATGTCTTACTTTTATTTTGTATTTGAATTGATATATATTGTATGCTGGAAGTATATTTTGATTAAAAAATTTGGAATAATAATTATAAATTTGAAAGCTTATTGTGTTTATTGATTTTTTATTATTGTTTTGAGTTATGCAGTTTGATAAGTGTTGGGTGTTCGAGTTGAGCAACTTCAATGAGATGCCAAAAGTAATAGGATTGATAGTAAAAGAATGATCAATAACTTGTTAATGCAATATGAGATATCTCTAAGTAAATAAAAAAATTACGTGTTAAAAGTTTTAATATAAAATTAATTAATAGTTTAGTATATATTTAAACTATATCAGGTGATATAAAATAGATAATATTTGATTTCCAATCTAATAATTAATTTCCGTCAGATAAAATAAAGTGGTATTTAAAGAACAGTAATAAATTATATTTTTAACTCAATAAAATAACAACTTTTAATCTCGTACAATTGTTGAAATATACATACTTTTATTTGTAAGATCATGAAATAAACTAATAAATATTTAAATATATAACATAAAAAAGAGGACAAAAGTTTCAAAGTTACGGATAAAGTTATAACATAAACAATTATTTTAATGTTTGAATTTAGAATGTAACATTAAAGAATGGGGTATGCCGCCAAAATGTCGAGAGACGAGTGGTTTGGCCTACCAACTTCCTTCATGCTTGGTGCCGCCCCCACGCCAACCGTAGCCACCGTCTCTCACAACTCACAACGCTTTTCTCCTTCAATTTTATTTCCACCAAATAAATTTCATCCTTTTTCTTAACACAATTTCTCTGCTTCAAAATATTTCATTACAAACCATTAAGAACTAATCACATGTTCATAAGAGGGGGTAATACAGTATCTGACACATTCGCAAAAATAGATTTGTGGTAATCACATGCGTTAATTATAAGGAAAGAAAGGAAAAAGATTTATGAGAATGTGTCTAATAAATTATCCTTAATTTAGCTAAAATCTATAAAACATGTTTCAAACTGAAACCAACAAAATAGTTAAAAATACAACTTTTTATACAAACACTGTACATTCAATTAAAAAACCTAAGCTTTGCATTACAATCCGTATCTATGATAAGTATTTCAAAGAAACTTTATGTTATTTTGATTAGGTGAAGTTTAATGTTTATGTTGCAGAATGAAAATTTGGTAGTCGTAAATTTAATTTGCTGAAATAAGTATTTTTATTATAATCTAAAGATAAAGGATTGGATAAACAAGTATATAAGTTATAAACAAGAATTTTATGCAATTTTTGTGTGTAAAAAGAAGAAGAATTTATAAATAAAATTTTGTCCAATATTATATATACGTGTTAAAATACAAGTTCGAGAAGTGAAATAAATTTAAGGAGTGAAGAAAATTATACTGACATTCGTGGAAGTTATAAAAGAAAAAATTTAATAGAGGAAATTGAGAAATAAGGTGTATACCAAATTAAGACCAATCTCAATCTATATTATAGATTACATTATACTTTTTATATAATTAAGATTATATATCTGTATTATCCATAAAAAAATCACTAAATTGGTGCTTTTATTAAATTATTTTCAATCTTTAATCAGATCAAACCTTGTAATTGTCCTCAAAGTATATTTCTTTCTCAATAAATATTAGATAAATGTTGATTTTTTAATAGATAAATTACTTCAAGAATATCACATGTTGTCTTAAATTTGACATTAATTGATTTATTGCAAAATACTGCAATAGACAAATATGCTTATTTAGTGTCTGTCAGAAAAAAAATGTACAAATCAAAACTTTATGGGTTTAAAATTTCACCTGAGATCCATTTTCTCTTAATTTTTTTTGTAAAAGTTGAAGTTTGAAGCAATATTTAAAAAACTATGTTAAATATAATTTTAAAAATAACTAGTATGGAAATAAATAACTTTAATTTATCAATATATAAATATTACAAGTTCTAGAATTCTAATGTTGATAATAATAATAATAAAATATTTGAACTACATATAGATTAATTGTCTGAAAAAGAAAAAAATAGATTCACAGAAAAACATTCATATTTTTTATTATTTTTTTATTCAAAAAATCAAAAACAGCAATTTCTTTTTGATAAGTTTTTTCGTTATTTTTTTCTCTCTCTCTCTCTCTCTCTCTCTCTCTCTCTCTCTCTCTCTCTCTCTCTCTCTCTCTCTCTCTCTCTCTCTCTCTTGTTTTTTATGTGTCTCATCCTTGGAATCAGAAGCAGATACTTTTTTAATTTTGTATATAAACCAACCAATATTAGCATTGCTTCCCATTCCCTTCTACTTTCCCTCCTCTTTCTTCAAACTCTGTTTCTTTTGCCACTCTGCATATTTTCGTTGCAACACACAGATTCTGTGTTGCTTGTGCTCTCTCTTAGTCACCTGCTTCTGCTACACAGTGCAAAAACAAAAACCATTTTCAGTGCTCCCTTTCTCATTGAAGAGACAGAGGAATAAGGAGGAAAAGAGACCCCACAATTTCAGAAAATGAAGTACGTGCTGGTGACTGGTGGAGTTGTTAGTGGTCTTGGCAAAGGTGTTACAGCCAGTAGTATTGGTTTGCTTCTCAAAGCTTGTGGGCTTAGAGTCACTGCCATTAAAATTGGTAACCTTTTCTTCATTTTCTTTGTTTTTTGTTTTTTTGTGGAAAAGCAAAGTGGATAAAGCATGCATGCTTTTTTATCCACCAAACTTTGAATAGTTTTTCCCAGTTTTCTTGTCAAAATTGTGTCTTTTACTCAGGTAACGTTTCTTTTCTTTCCTTTTTTTTTTTTTTTTTTTTTCAGAGTGTAAACACAATTCAAATCATGTAAGGTTTAAAAGTACGGTAGTGACAGTAGATATTGCAGAAATTTGTAGACAAATGCAACCACGATTGTGGATAGCGTTGGTTGAAACAGTGGTCATGGATGTCTTTTTAAAACTTTGCATCTTAGCATGGGTTATTAGTCCTCTTTGTTTTTCCCTTTGAAGGGGTGTTGCATTCTAATTCTGGTCTCACTTTTTTCCTCTGCCATTCAGATCCTTACTTAAACACAGATGCGGGAACAATGTCCCCCTTTGAGCATGGAGAAGTGTTTGTGTTGGATGATGGTGGTGAGGTACACAACTTGCTCTGATTAACTGATTCATCATCCATTTTTCATGTTAAGGACAAGCCCGAAAAGAATACCCAAAAAACGTAGAAAAGAAAGAAAGAAAAAAGTTATTTCAAGAAAACGAGAGAAAAATAATGGTGCTAACTTTATGCAATTTTCACAGAGAAGGTTGGAAAATTTATCAAGAGTAGTGTCTTGAAAGATAATGAAACTTGACCCTTTTTCTGTTGTAAGGTGGACCTGGATCTTGGAAACTATGAGCGTTTTATGGACATCAAGTTGACCCGTGATAATAACATAACTACTGGAAAAATTTACCAGGCAAGTTCCTTAGACTATGACGCAGATTTTGAAGATCATTACAACTTTTTTTTTTTTTTCCAAACTTTACTTTTCTTTTCCTGTTTTCCCGACAGTCTGTCATTGATAAAGAGAGAAGAGGAGACTATTTGGGAAAAACTGTTCAGGTCTGGTTTAACCAATTTGTACTGTGCTTTTACTGTGATGATAATTTATTTATAAACAAAGGTTTTCATGTTGCTCCTAATATTATTATCATTATGATGATGATGATGATGATGCTGATGGTGTTTTCATCTTTAGGTTGTCCCTCATATCACTGATGCTATTCAAGATTGGATTGAAAGGGTGGCCCACATACCCGTAGATGGAAAGACCGGTCCAGCCGATGTATGTGTCATAGAATTGGGTGGAACCATAGGTACAGTGTTGAAAACATTCTTCAGTCTTCTTCACAGTTGGATTATTGTTTCCATCTTTATCTTTATGTGAATTAATTAATTTATTTTATTTATAATAACGTTCATGGATGCAGGAGATATCGAGTCCATGCCATTTATTCAGGCTCTAGGACAATTCTCATACAGAGTAGGTGAGTGAGGATACTTGATTTTTGCTCACAGAACCTGTTTTTGGTGAATAATAATGTGAGGTGTATATAAATATATAAATAATATGCTGTTTATATGCAGGTGCTGGAAACTTTTGCTTAGTTCATGTCAGCCTTGTTCCTGTTTTAAATGCTGTTGGTGAACAGGTTAGTAATGTCTCAACTTTTAGATCCGTGTAGAAAATGATTTAGTTTCATTTACCATGGGAAGTTACTTTATTATTATTTTGTTCAGAAAACAAAACCAACCCAACATAGTGTTCGTGCACTGCGAGGTCAAGGGCTGACTCCACATATTTTGGCATGCCGCAGCACAATGGTTAATCTCTCTTTCTCCTTGCACAGTTAAGCAAACAGAGAACATGAGACTAATTCATGTAGCAGAGAACCGGAATAGTTAGATGAAGATCAGATGACTCCCATCTGTAATACTCCAGTTTACTAAGTTAAATATGAGCCGTCTGATTTTCATCTGACAGTTCCAATTCGCCAACTGCTTGATTGCATGAAAAGTCTGACTGTAGGGAATCGGGATCCGAGAGTACACACTACAGAAGGGCACAAACACATACTATAATGCTCAGAAGGAACACAAAAGCATACAAACTGTTCTTAACTATAAAATTTGTAAGGTTCTAACAGTCACTTGTTTCAGGTACTGGATGAAAATGCAAAGGGAAAACTCTCTCAATTTTGCCTACTTCCGGTATGAGTTTTTAAGGATAAGTACTTTGATGAATATTTTGACTTCAAATGACTGTGTCTGCTTTGCAAGTGTTTTCTTTACTGAAGCTGCATGTTTACAGGCGGAAAACATTATTACCCTTTATGATGTTCCCAACATCTGGCACATTCCTTTGCTTTTAAGAGTAAGTTTTCCTCTAAAACTGCTGAACTTCAAATCATCTTATATCTCTGGGTACCATTTCTTATAAATTATATTCTTCTGGTCTATAGGATCAGAATGCTCATGAAGCAATGTTTAAAGTGCTGAATCTTCATGGGTTAGTCTCACAAACCCAAAATATTTGTTCTATTTCATGGATCAGGCTTTAAAAAGAAGTTTCAATACTTTATTATTCTTCTGGAAAGCTTAAGTGGCAGTTTTTTTAAATATATACAGTGTAGCTCACGAGCCTAATTTAGAGGAATGGACTGGCAGAGCTGAATCTAGTGATTTGCTTCATGAACCAGTGAGTTGCTACTCCAAAGCTAATCCATATTATCCATGATTGTTGGCAATAATTATACTTTTATTTCTTTTAATTGGCAGGTTCGTATAGCCTTAGTGGGGAAATACACATGCCTTTCAGATTCTTATCTTTCCGTTCAAAAGGTGGAGTTCAACTTCATGGCTGTGTAACTATATTATAAAGCTTTTTTACTGTATTATAAGTTTCTTTTCCCTTGGCCTAGCATCCAAATCTGCATAATTGTATCTATCTGTCTTCGTTATGATTTACATTCCTCTGCTCTTTTTGTTAGGCCTCCTCATTATAAATATATACATGAAATGATTTGATACTTTTTTCATATAGATCAAAGTTGATTTGATATATAGTTTTAAAAATATATTAAAATATGAATCATTTGATTATCTTATTATTACTATTCAATTTTGATTAAATTTTGCACAATTAAGATAATCTAAAATTATAATTCAACTGTTGAATTGATAAAATGTATATTTTTTGATAAGGTTATTAAATGGTATAATAGTTGGGGAGAGTTACACCACTATATTCTAAGCGTAATGGTCAAAGCATAAGTTCGCTAATCTACCTTTAATCGTTCATTTCAGGCCTTACTGCATGCTTCTGTTTATTGTGAAAAGAAACTTGTTGTAGACTGGATTCCAGCCAGCAACCTTGAAAGTGCAACTGCAAAGGAGGTAACACCAATTATGAATTACTATATCACAAACATGTTTTATTTATTATTGCTCATGATAGAAATTTCACCTTTATGTTACTGTTCAATGTTGCAGAATCCTGATGCATACAAGGCAGCATGGAAGTTATTAAAGGTTTCCTTCACACTCATCAAATTAACCAGTTGTGATTTTGTGAATTTCCCTTACTGTGGTTGAGAACTTTCTCTGCTAATTATCTAACTAAGCTTTGTCTTCAGGGAGCAGACGGTATTCTGGTTCCAGGAGGGTTTGGGGATAGAGGAGTGCAAGGAAAAATTGTTGCAGCTAGATATGCCCGCGAAAACAGGATTCCATTCCTTGGCATTTGTCTTGGAATGCAAATTGCTGTCATAGAGTTTGCACGATCTGTTCTTGGTGTACAAGATGCTAACAGTACTGAATTTGATCCCCATACCAAAAGCCCATACATCATATTTATGCCCGAGGTGTCTATATTTGTTTATCTTATTCTAATGATAACAAAATGATTAAAGAAAATGTCCTGTTTTTGATTTCTTTGGACTGTTTGCCATAGGGATCAAAAACACATATGGGAGGTACCATGCGCCTTGGATCTAGGAGGACATATTTCCAGACCAAGGAATGCAAATCTGCAAAATTGTAAGTATTATTACAACTTTCAATTTTTTAAGACATTTTTTGTGTGTTTACACTAGGCAATATGAATGAGAGTAATGTGTGTGGTATGACTGCACTACAAATGACTTGCTATATTATTTGGCTCCAACGGTAAGGTTTATTAGGATTTTAACCCTTTGATCCTTCTTAGATATGGCGGCAAAAGCTTCATTGATGAGAGACATCGGCATAGATATGAGGTATTAGATTGTGTTGCATAAAGTAATCTCTTAAATGTGAGTAGAACAGAAAATGATCTTGTCATATGCAGGTGAATCCAGATTTGGTAGCTCGTCTTGAAAATGCTGGTCTCTCTTTTACTGGGAAGGATGAAACAGGTCAACGCATGGAGGTATGAACATTCTCAGATGACTTTTTGAATTATTATATGCATATCCTGTGCTTATAATTTTTTTTATTTTTATTTTTTCAATGCTACAGATTGTTGAGCTACCTAACCATCCTTACTTTATCGGTGCTCAATTTCATCCGGAATTTAAATCAAGACCAGGAAAATCTTCTCCTTTGTTCTTAGGTACTTCTCTGATACATGTCCGAATTATGAGTGCAATTTCAGATTTTGAAAAGTAACTTCTGAATTGCTTGTTGATCATGCCAATGCAGGGTTTATTGGAGCATCATGTGGACAATTGGATGCTGTCTTACAGAGCTGTTCAAATGCTGATAATAGTTTCTCGAAAGGAGTAGGCAATGATATCTCTGCAGTCAAAACATACAAAAGTAGAACTCCGACAAAGACAGCTTATAGGGATGAATATATATATGGCAGTTGCAATGGGTTGCATTTCTAAATGTTAACGGTCTTCCTTCATCTTTAGAGTTTTCAAGTTAACTGGATAAATATGTGAGGGCTTTCAGTTGTCTAGGAGAGATTTTTGTACAGTGAGTCAATTGAACCTTGGTAGGTATAGAGTTTTCAGAGGATACAGAGAAGAGCTTACTCCCGGTCTTTTTAATGGGACCAGCTCATGTAAGTTTATAATGGTTTGAGTGGGGAACTATGAAGCTTGTATTACGTTTCAGGCAATGGAAACTCTTGGTTTTGCAAAGATATTAAGCAGTCTATATAGAGAAATTCTTGTGAGCTTAAACTATTTTCTGATCTTTATTGTAATGTGAATTTTCTTGTGATAATGTTGTAGGAGGTGTTTAGTAAATGAAATGTCAATTATTTCTTCTTGATAGTAGCATGGTTTGTCTACAATGGCCTGATCAAAGAAACCTCAGACAACACCTTTACAACATCCGAAGTTTTGAAATGTGGGAGTGCTATAGTTTTTCTAGTTCTGTATGTTAATGACATCCTAATACTGCAACATGTTAAAAAATATGGTTGGGGAGTTGTTTCTTGATGAAAGACTTTGGAAAAGCATCCCATGTGTTAGGAATAAGGATCATAGAGTTTGGTTGGCCTTAGTCAGAGTGCATATTTTGATAAAGTGACTAGGCACTTTAGTATGCATGATTCCAAGAAGGAATTCTCACCTATGTCACATGTTGTGTATTTGTCCAAGGAACAATGTCCTACTTTATCAAATGAAAGGGAACACATGAATAAGATTCCTTATGCTTCTATAATGGGGGTCTGTCCTATATGCCTTGATATACAACTGACAGATGTCTCGAATGCTTTGAGAAAGGTGGACAGATACCAATTCGATCTCAGTGAAGATATTTTGATTGCTGTCCTGAAGTAATTGAGAATAACTGAGTCATTCTTGATATATGATGGTGAGGAAGAACTTGTTGCAAAGAGATACATCCAAAGTGATGGCTCTTGAACGCAATCAAGGTTTTTGTTTAGCTTAAATGGCGGCACTGTGAACTACTAGAGCTAGAGTTCAAAGTAGGATCTTGAAGATGTAACCCATAAAATGGGTCTTGAAGATTTCAAGGGAACTTAAGAATCAAAATGGATAAGATTTGGATTAAGACAAGAATGTGAAGAACATGCCACTTGAGCTATTCTGTATGACAAAACTGATGTTATTCTTAATATTGTGCCAAATACAAGATTGCATAAAGCCTCTAATTTGTCCAGAATTCTTCATGCCACGAATCCTCGTAATATTCCTATTATCTTATCCAATATGTCTCTCTACTATTCAATACCAAAAAAGAATACTTTTCTCATGTTCGGTTTACATTTTAAAAAATAACATTTTTATGTATCATAATGTTTCCTAATTTTTTTTTTTAGTTAAGTTCCCTACCAAAACATTCTCTTAGTCCGTGGGAATTTAACTTTCTCGAGTTGAAATAAAAGTATTTTTAAAGAAATACAATTTTACTCTTATTAAAGCATTTAATGGCATAATAAATTAGTTTTTATAATAGAAATAAAACATTATTATTTTTATTTTAGAAAACATATACAAATATTCTCAGAAATATTTTTGACTAACCAAAGAGAATTTAGTCATACCTAATAATTATAATTCCCAGTAACCATGATTTATTTCTTTTTTTATTAAACATCTCATACATTCATTATTTAATCTTTTCATCATAAAAAGGCAATTTTGTGATTTCAAATTTGAAACTTTATTTTCTGATTTAGAGATATATTATTAATTATAAACTCCAAAATTCAAGATTTTAAACTAATTTTAACCGAATACACTTTTTATTTTTATTAACCCTCCCTTTGTTCATTGATATACCAATAAAATGTGTTCTTAAATCAAATAAACTGAAAAAGCTTGACTTCCGGATTTTATAATTAGTTAATATTAAATAATATCCCTCTAACTCAATAATAAAGTTAATATTTTCGCTTATAAAATTTTTGAAAATACTAAATCAAATTACATAAATATTAAAACGATAAATTAAATCTTTATCGCTTTTAGAATTTTATTTAGATTTTTATGAGCTGCTTTTTGCACAATCTTCTGAAAGTAGTTATATTATCTAAATAAATTTAGTTGTAAAAGCACAACTCTCCATATATAATCAAGTGATACAATATAGTTTACTAATCATTAAAATTTTAGATTCATCATAGTTGTTTATTTTGATTTATACTTCACATTTTACGTGTTCCATAAATAACGTGTGTGTGTAAAAAACACTACATGCTATTCTGAATTGTTTTCCATTTTCTCGTTCTCACCATCCAACTGGCAATAAATAAATTAGTTTATATGTACAATAACCAAAATAACTAGTAATAAATATGATATTTTTAAGTCATCTACAAAAATATATTATTGATGTATTGTAGATATGCATAACTAGAATGCTTGTTCCTACAAGAGAAGGTCCTTATTCAATGTACATTTTTACTTTTCTGCTAATCCTACACAACTTGGATTTTGTTTGAAGGTGTCTATTGGCAGGACCCTTGATGGTATTGGACTCTTACCAAATCAATGGACTCTATTACACTTTAATATCTTCACCCCGTGATTATTGCAACATGAATCAGATACGATGCTGACATATTATCATGAGTAAACAGTGTAAGCCGTCAAAAAATATCCATATCAATGGAGTTAACTAGCACCCCATCATCTTCCCACTTTATATTCTTTGCCACTGGATCTTTTCCTATCAATTTTAGAGGAACATCTAATGGCGGTGGAGTCTGCATGAAAAAAAAAAAAACTCAGTGTTTAGTGCAATAATAAGAAGCTAACAAATTCATCACATATTAGAAACATGATTTGATTGGGCCTTTTATTTTCTTTTTCTAGTCCGAAATGTGTAGGAGGAGCAGTAGCTGTTCCATTCAAAACTAGTCAGCATTCAATTCCACTAGTTTAACCAACCCTAAATTGGTTTCTGTAGAGATATGTGTCACGATGAGTGATAGAGATTGATTATTCTTGAGGTCCTACAATGTACATTTTGTCAGACAAAGTAGTCCCCACATTAGGACCTTACGGACTAATTTGGATCATAAATTCAAACAATTTGACCAAACAAATGCATAATTAGGGACCATGGGCATAGTTTTCTTGATTCATGACCTAAAACGACTGACGTATCTTCGAAGGACTAATTTTACCATTTGTGGTAATCAATGTTTTTCTAATCACTAACTTCAAAAGAAATAACAAGGATATTACCATGTTGCGGATAAGAGGCCAATTGATTCCACGGAAAAAGGGATGTTGTTTGATTTCATTTGCACCAGTGGTTGAACCTAGACGACTTGTTGGGTCTCTTTGCAATAGTGCATTAATCAATTGCCTGGCTGCAAGACTAGCCTGAAATTTTCAAAACTGTATCAGTTGATGTAAGATCAAAACAGTAGCTTAGTGAACTGTGAGAATTTACACATGTCATTTATATATTGGACAATTTATAGCAATAGCTGGATGCATGACCAGATCAGACTTTTTAGTGAAATAGTATCTATGGATGTCGAAAGACCACTTCCTTTGTCAATGCAATATATTCTTTTTCACACCTAAAAAGAAAGTCGTAAGTATCTATGTATTTTAATGCTTATGCTTACATCTGCTTTACTACCCATTATTTGAAGTTGGGAATTGCATGTAATTTATGCAAAAACTTATTAAATAGGAAACCCCAGTTATAGGAAAATGAATTGAATGGCAAACAACATTAAAAAATTTTGATGTTCAACTACTAATTAAAATCAAGAACTATTTGTTTACCGGGATGCTGCTTGGAAAGGTAAGATCCTTGTGTAAGATGTTGGAAAATGTCTTCTGTCTATTCTTTCCTCTAAATGGTGTACGACCATAGAGCATCTCATACAACAAGATACCTAAACATAAAGAAGCAGAATTGTTAATGTTCAAATAAGGCTGGGATAATAAAAGAAGAGGATGAAATAAGAAACGTTTGATAATTAAAGATGAAGTACTACCTAGAAAAGGGGATACGGAATCTAACCAAGACTAGTGAATGATCCGATAACTCATGGAAAAGGAAAAAGACTATATTGAATCCTTCTGTCTTTATTACAAAGTAACATTCACTAACGGTTAAATGAATGGTCACTGGTGACTTTATATCTATAATGCACTTCAAATATGAAGCCCTATAGCCTTGATAACTGAACAAGTATGAGCCAACTCAAACCTTGCGCTGAATGTAATTTAATTAAAAGCTTAGGACCATTTGGTCAAAGAGGCTGTGATACTATGTTAAGAACCATTTGAACCTAAAACTTGTTAGGTGGATGCAAGGAATAGCTTTGATATTTAATATTCCCCCTTACGCAAAATTCCTTTATGCACAAAGCATCAGTAAAGTAGGCTCCACCAACATTTTCAAGAATTACTGATTTTTGTTACTGTTAACAGAAGTCACTAACTTATACTCAGAATGGTGACCAAAAATCAATTCTAGCATGTAGAAACAAAAACAAATCCAGTTAAATTTTCCAGCATTTTTCCCGAACCTGAGACCGAATCCTTACAAATTACATAATATCTTCATAAAGCACTAAATTGCTCCCAAATTAAAAACTAACAGGCAAATGCAACTGATATATTTTTTCTTATCAAATGTCCTGACTCTAAGAAAGTTGGTCATAAATATTTTGTTAATTTTATCAATGATTAGTTATAAAAAAAGCTACAAAATAGAGCTTCACAATTCATATTCAAACATAAAGATGAAAGTGATTACCAAGGGTCCACCAATCTATGGCGCTACTATGCCCAGCTCCAGTTATAATTTCCTGAGATCAAGCACCTTAAAAACCTCAAAAGATGATAATGACAATGATAATAACATACAAAGAAGTAAATAATAAAATAATGTTGTTGTGACTATTATGTTTTTTAATAGACTACAATAAATGTCCACAAGTACGATGAGCTCTATAGAGGTGATTACAAGAACTGTGTTCGGAGCATACACATGCTTATGATGAATAGTAACGATAAAATAAGTGAAAGAGAAGAAATACAAAATGTAATCCCTAAATTATATCTATACAATATTTTCCTATTTCCATATTTACATAATCATATCTTTAACAAAATCCAACTTCTTCCCAAAGTAAGAAAGATCTCTATTTTCTCTTCATTACAACATCTCCAGCACACCATAATGACCCTATCGTTTTTATGGACTTTGGGCATGAAGCTCAAAGTACACACAAGTGCACCTACTTTGTGTGTGAAGGAGGCAAGGAAAGGAAAACGACATTGATTAAAGGGCAATGAGCTCAATATATACTAACAGATCTAAACTGAAAAAAGGAAACAATTTATGACTCGTAAAAGATAGAAACTATTACTAGAGGATCATCTAAGATACTCTCATATCAAATCCTCAATTTTAACATGACAAACCAATTTTTTGTTAAAACTGAGTGATGTCTATGTAACTTCAGAACAAGAGAGATTTAAACTTTAAACATTTAAGGATCTTTTTCTTTCACTTAGATAGTATGAAGCAGTATTGAAAGTCACCATACAGGGGCAATATATTCTTCAGTTCCAACAAATGAGTTTGATTGTGTAGCTGGCTCTGCAACAATTATTGGTCGCGGTTCACTTCGTGATCTCCTTTTACCAGGCACTGATTGCTTCACAATCTGCAGGAATGAATTTTAATTTAGGCATCTGACAATTATCAAGCTGAAAGACAACCCTAGAATATCAGTTCCTAAACCCTAAACCCTAAAAAAATTGACCATGTTTATACATGAATAAGGATACGTACCTGGGGTTTACACGATGTCATAAATGATAGATCAAAATCAGTTAATACAACATGACCATCCTTCTGAATTAAGATATTTTCAGGCTTTAAGTCACGATAAATTATACCTAGACAGATTCCATAAAAGAAAACGATATTCAGATATGGTAAGAATCAGTATCTATTTTTTCCTCTCATTGTTGTGCATAATAAAAAAAATTCTATCAGGACAGGTTGCTTCCTAAACAATCACATGGAATATGTCGGCATAGCAAAAAAATTATAAAAAGATTAGGAAAGATACGATTAAGATAAGAAAAGAAGAAAACCTTGAACACTGCTGAAATACTTACAAATATTGTAAGGAAAAAAAAAAAAAGCATCGCAAACCCCAAAAACAAGCACCAATTGTTCGGATTGAAACACAAGAAGAGTCCCACTGAATAGACTGGGAAATTAAATGGGAGAGCTTCGACAGTTAAGCACTGCATCAAATCAAGTAGCTTACCCTACTCAACATAAGATTCCTAACATAACACCACAATTATAAAGATAGTTTATCTATTCTCCTAATCACTATATTTCATGGAGAAAAAAGTCTTCCAAATTATATGGACAGATCCAACGTAAAAGCAGAATATGCAATAGCTACATCAAGCACCAGTTTTCAATCTCTTTTAAGAATGGAAACACATCACTGGTAAAGTAAAAACAAACTTCAATCTCATTGAAAAACTGTCCCCACATACCCAAACAAAAGGGAATAGCAAAAAAGAAAAACATTATTTCATCAAAACTCCTAAGTCCTATCAATTTAATGGGGTCCTTTATGTCATGCTCCTCTGTGCGTATTTGGATCTATATCTATATCATTCTAAGAAAGAGAGGAAAGGATGCAAGCAAGGAAGCGGTAACCTATACCTATACAACTGCTATTCTTATTGATATCGATCAATGCGGGCTAAGGGTGTTAAATGCATGCTATGGTGGAGATTCTTTGTTTCAGAAAGCGTATGTCTTCACAGATCTTAGTTCAGTCGCATCTCAATAATCGATAGATGGAGGGATTTTTCTTTTTATTTGAAGTAGGGTGCCCCCTCTCTTCAAGTTAGTTAAGAGGCATCACTACCTTATTTATTTGCAGGTTCGAATGAGCTAGCTTTATCTGCTTTCTGAGGTGTGAAAAGCCCTTTTGTTCTATTCATGACCTGGTTTAGATAAGCTGCTTGCATATTCTATGCAATGTGTCTTTCTTAGATATTCTAGGCAACAAAATGGTTGTCATTGTTAATCTCTTACACGACCATACATAGGTATACAAATATTGACGTCAATTTCTTTGAAGATACACCATATTTCAATATTTCAGTTAAACCTAGTGCGATTTACAAGATTTACCCTCACCTTATTTTGGTCCAGCTCTAGTTCCCTTGCATGTACTGTCACAAGAATCAATAGTTGTCCCATTTAAAGAAGCTTGTTATATCTACCTCAACTCCCTTCTATTGACTATCAGTGCTAACCATAAAAAGGATCCAAGCGATCATGCCCTACTTCAACTACATCTACAAAAAACCTGCAAAGTATATTGATGATCTCTCTACCGCTCTTTGAAACTACAAATTCGTACTAAAGGTTGAGGCACTCTCTCATTCAAGATGAATGCATTCCATATTGATGAGATTATTGCTTGTCAACACAGTGGCTCATTGGACTTAGTTTCCCTTCACAAGGGAAACAATTGTAGGTCGCTCATGCGTATAGGCCATAAAAGTTGATCCGGATGGCTATATTGATTGACCATCTTCAAGTTTATCTTGTCACTACTACAGGATATAACTCAGACATATAGCCAGGGGGTAGAAAGTGATAGGTGCTGTTAAGGTGTAACAGTTTTATTTTAAACCCTTTATGGGAGGCATTGAAAAGCTCACACTTCACTTAAGAAAAGAAATAAAATTATATTGTGATTTTGTATTAATTTTAATTATTATGCAAATAGACAGGATAAAAATTCATAAAGCAATTAAAATGTACAGTCTGTTATATGCCGACAGTCTGTGATAAGTAACACAAAACAGAACGGGCTGCTATTAAACCTAGTGATATTAACCGTTATTATGGAACATCCGTAAGTTTTTTTATATTAATTACTTTACTTACAAATAGAACACTACAGAAAAAAAATTCTATCCAATGTATTCTAACTTAATAGTGAACACCAAAAACACCATAGAAAATAATATGAATCATACCTATGCCAGGTTACACATAGAGGATATACTGAATACAAAAGTGCTTAGGAATGTATATGAACTAATCAAATGAAGATATACTGAGCAGCATACCTAGACAGTGGAGATATTCCAAACCAATGACAACCTCTGCCGCATAGAATCTGGATACATGATTGATAAAATTAACAAAAAATATAATGGCCTGTATCATAAATATATAAATATGTCCATTGTTTTTAATAGGTCAAGGTAGAATATGTCCAGGTTGATGTATGTAGTGAGTGGTCAATCCCATTTGTTATAAAATAGTTATTAGCTTATTATGTGTTATGAAGCTGCACCTATCTTCCACTGATCTTTTCTTCTCAGTATAAACAGAGACAGGGAGAGCAGCTTTATTGAACTAGTCATTCCCATTATGAATGATATATAGTAGAAGCTCTAATATTACATCAGATTTAAGAATGCATTAGGTCTAACTCAATTCTAAAATCTAGCACAAGAGATGAAGATTGCCTATGTTATAAGGAATATTTTGGTCATATATTTAGCCAATTTAAGATATTAGAGCATATACATAATTAGGATAAGTTAATAACCAATCCCTTTGATCTAGATTCTGTAAAACGGACATAAAACATCCTTAATTATATATTTATTCTAGGATTAATATATATTCATCACTATTTATGTGATTGAGCCACAGGGTTTTTTTTATCTCCAACTCTCACAGTGTATTAAAATAATCATCCAGACATCAATTCGTTTAGAATATGAGATGATAGATTTTATTTCGTGAAACCAAATAATGACGTTATGAATATCTAACTGACATTTAGGATAACATTGTCAGACAGGAATCATCTAAATCATAAATATTGAAAACTTAAAGTATTCACACAGCAAAAGACAGTTGTCAGATAAAAATGGGAAACAAAAGTACCTTGCTGATTCTTCTTTGAAAATCTTCATCGGTTGTCTGTCAAGCAATGCAAACAACTCTCCCCCTTGGCAGAAGTCAGTAATCAAACATACATGTGTAGAAGTCTGTTGAGAAAAAGAAACTGTTAGAACAATTGGTAAGAGCCAACTCAGATGGGAGCCCTATGTAATTAGTGATTAGTTTATAAGCATATGTAAAGGATTGAGTAGTCACTTTGTACTTATCCTTCTCATCATCAATAATCTTATTTTTCAGTTTATTACTTTCTTTTCCAAATCTCTCTTCTCGCTCAGAACTGAACCATGTATTCTAACACTAATATTTAAAATTTGGGAATTATGTTTATGAGGGAGATTCAATGCTCCACTAGGGCCACCTTTCTACTTCTGCTACCTAGGAGCTTGGACCTTCAATTAACACATAAGCCCACAAACGAAAATAAAGGCTAACAATTCTCTTTAAAAACACTCCCATGCTATCATGGTGGAAAAAGTTCCAATTTAATGCCACGTTAGTAAGATTGGATGAAAAGACAGGAAGCATGTACAAGTATAAAAAGAAAGTTATGGAAAATAGTCACTAAAAGAATCATAAGTTGTGTGTATGATGCATCATAATGACCTCTGCAACATTATGCACTTCACTTTTTATACATTACATAAAAAGTACCTCAAGACTTTCCTAAATCAAATATTTTGCTCAATATATTTTACAGTAATTTTGTACGCAACAGTTTTAAGAATTTTATCAATTTATACCAAGGTAACTTTGAGAGTAACATTGGAAGAAAGCGATTCTTATTAAGATGGTAAACAGGTGAGAGTCTTCTAGAAGGATTTTACTTGGCAATCACGTTTTGCTATAATTCCAACAGGCCTGATACAAATAAAAACATGATACAACTCTTTTCATCAATTATTAATTGCTCATGTTAGATATTGTTTAGATATTATTTGATATTGTTAAGATATTGCTAGATATTGTTAATCACAATATCAAACAATATCTTCTATTTGCTCTAATTAAATTTTAGTTACTCTTTTTAGTTGTACATCTCTCTATTATAAATAGATTACCCTATGTGTAGTTTATACACAAGGGAGATTAATCTCAAACCCTATTTTCTCTATATTCAACAGCTCAAAAGAGTCTTCTCCATTTCTAGTGGATACCAGAGTTATGCTTAATGGATTATAGGTTGTCTCTCAGAACAATATCTAGATCAAACTTTACACTTCAGTTGTCTCGGTCCAACATAAAGACATAGATGTATTATATTTACCTGAAATGAGGTGTATAGTGCTGGAAGAAAAGGATGATCCAATAATGATATAATCTCTCTCTCAATGCATGACCGGTGAACCTGTAATAGTAACCAGTTAATCACAGTAATATATTCTAGCTAAATATATTGAGTGAGATAAGTTAACTACTTCTTTCATGAACAAAAAGATGGGGTATTAGATTGTGAAGAAACTTCAACATACAGGCCTAAATGAATATGTTTTACTTAATATTTGAAAGGCTGAGGTACATGGTTAAGTGTTTTTCTTTCCAGCTTATGTTGACAACTAAGAATACATTTAGCCATGGTTTTATGAGAACCACCAGTTCATTTTTCAAGTGTCAAAACTCATTATTGTGCTATGCATTTGTGGTTTTTCCTTTCAACACTCTTAGCATCTCCATATGCACATAATTTTTGTCAATGCAATTTCTATATTCATATTTTCATTTTGAAAACTAACAAACAAACTATATTGCAATGCATTCATCTTCTTTTCATGGAAGGCATGCAAATTGTTCAAATTATAGGGTTTAGACATAAGATGAGGAGAACACATAAAGGTCTAAATAATAGGTTATTAGATGATATGGTGCGTTGAAAATACAAAGTAGTACGGCTAATTAGTCTAAGAACTCAATCACGTACCTGCATAGTATTAAACAAACCCATGAATTCATATCATAGCAATGGCGTGATTCATAATTTATTCCCATTTTTCTTACAGAAATTACCAATTGGACAAAAATATTAAGAAATTATAATGATTTTTCTTCACAAGATATTCAGCTGAGAAAAAAAAAAGTAGAAAACAAAATATCATGTATTTTCAAAGAATATATCAAGAACCTTAATTTCAAAGTTGATGGGAAGGACACATAGAATCTTTAAGATGAAACTAGTGACTCTTACATATCCAGACCTTATTACGATTTAGCATGATAGACTTTTCCATTGCTTTCATTGCATATAGTTCACCAGTACCTTTGAGTTCCACCAAATGAACACTGTAGCGCAAAACACCATGATACCATGATAAATTAGCAGAGCATTTTTTTTTCATTCCATGATACTAAAAATTTTAAGACCACAAACAGAAAATAAAACTCCACAATGTAGAAAATTTGGGAATACCTAAAGCTTCCATCTTAAAGTCTATTGTCAGATGTCAATGAATGTTTAAAGTGAGATTAATATGGATCAGGGATCAAGTTAAAGATGTAGAATGAGCAGGGGTCTTAACAAACCTTGTGAATTGTTTTAATTAAGAAAATGTTAAATGGAACAACTATGTTTTCATTAAAACAACTTAGGGAATTAGAAAAATGAAGTTGCATTTCTCAGTAAACTTACTTTTCAAACCTTCTTGAAAAGTAAGGTTTCCTTTATTGAATGCATGCATTTTATACAGGTTGATCAGCCAAGAAACTCAACAGTACCTGCCAGTATCACCACAACCTAGTGGCCTTATGGGCACAAAATGTTGGAGGCCAATTTTTTCGCCTCTTGCAGCTACCTGAAAGAGTCAAAGAAACAAATTAATGAAAATAAGGCAATAATTTTACAACAAACCAACACAGATCATACATCATACATATTTAATTTTAAAACGTCTCCAAAGCACGACTACACGAGAATAAAAATTAAAAACAGCTTCCCCTTGACTATAATTAGTTTAGGCATTGTAGAAAGTATTTTTTATTAGTTTTTTCAACTCAGATCTTTAGCTTGTGTATAAACTTTCATTTTTATTTTTGCTTATTTCGATGTCCTAAAATCAGACCCAAAGTCCCTAATTACTGAAAAAACAATACAACACAAATGGTGAGGACAAGAACCAGATAAATGGCTGCTTCTTTCATTAAGCACACTCATTTTAGTTTCTCTTATCTCCACACCGGCAGTCTCACTCCCTTCCCACGGCACGGTCGTGGGTCGTGTTGTGACAGAGGAAGGTTGCTCATTTGTCGCGGAAATGCACCTCACACCATCATTCTTCCTCCCATTTTGTGCCAATAATGCTTTTGCCAAATTGTAATGCTTTGGCTGGTGATTCTCTTTCTCACAAGCTATTCACAGTTTCCCTTCATTCTATTATTATTATATTATATAACAGCTGTATCGGAGAAACTAACGACATATTATATATCACATTCTTCTAATTCTAATTCTTATTTAGATCACTTGGTTCGGCGCAGCCGACCCAACTAAGGGTGTTACGGGACAGATTTAGTTAAAAAAAATATTTATAATTATACTAATTATAAATTTAAATAATTAATTATAATTAATTATTTTAATATATAAATATAATATTTTTATTTTATCTAATAAAAATATTAAGTAATACATAAAATTTAAAACTAATTTATATAATTAAATATATATTTTAAAAATATATAAAAAAATATTATTTACATATTAATCCATTAAGTTGTCTTCAATAAAACGAGTTAAGATATGTAATTCTATGACGAATCAATTCATTCATTAAAAAAAAAAAGAAACGGATAAAAATGAGACAGATTATCCTATTTTATCTTCTATTAAAAATATTTTCATCATACTTTTCGATGCTTCAAAATAAAAAAAAAATTATACTTTTACACTCAATGTTTTTTAATAAAATTCACTAAAACATATAATCTTCAATATATTTCATCTAACTACAATGAGTATGTTGTTATAGAATGCACTTACACCACTCTTACTGATTATTTTTGGCTAGTTTGTGCTCTTCATTTTTTTCTATTTGAAAATCTTGGATTATTGTATGGCAGGGCATAGAACTGAACCTGATAGGAGAGTTTATAATAAGGCTCTAACTGAAAGGAAAATTCTGAATCCAGAGATAACGATTTTTATCTGGTGTAAGAAGATTTTTCCCCAATAAAACCGGCCATTGTGAAAAGCATATATAAGTTGGGTGTCTTTAAAGAACCTCCCAATGAAAAGCAAGTATAGCTTCTACCAAGACTACATAATAATTACATTGATGACACTGTTATCCACAGTGATTGGTTACATTAAAAGAACTCAGTCAGTATATGGAATCTAGGACTGGGAAGTAAAGGTGATGAATATAACTCAACAGCCTTTGAACGCCCCAAGGTAATAAACATGACAATGGATATATGTTGTTCCCTTACACCAACGATGTTCAAGAGAAACAAGAACTTTGGTAATGTTTTTCTAGCAGGATTGGACCAAGAATGTCCTCATATATCCCTACACGACAGTAATCTAGAACATGACTTGCTGCCTTGGGTCACTCTATCGGGCTTACCTGACCCAAAAGATTAACCACTTCAACTCACGTTATTAATTATAACGCTCTTGATCGAAAATCTTAAGATATTAAATTATGAGTCATAATTCCTTATATATTCATTTTTACACAAATTGGGACTTAAAATCACACTTGTATTCCAATGTTCAACTTCTTCAGGTAAGAAGTATACTACAGGAGACAGTTCTGAAGATCCTACGTTTGCCTTTTCAGCTAACTTAAAACACAAATTAGGCACATTCATGATTCATTTTCTTGTGAAATGGTAATGCTAACAATTTTTTTTCTACTCATTCTCTTCTTAAAAACAACTGGTCATAATACATTAGTATTCTTGCTTAGTTATAAATAGTCATATGCTAGTGTTGTTATTTTTTTTTTTCTCATCACCCAATAGCTCTTTGTTGAACAGATGACAAAAATGGTAGGTCAGTGGACTGATGGGTTGAGCTCTCTAAGACCACTCAAAAGAACGAACCCCCATTTAGTATCCTAGAAAGCCCTATGTATCAAGGATCAGCACCTCTAAAATTTTAAAAAAGATAGTAATGGAGAGTGAATCAAATATCTTTTTCATTTAATTCATACGGCTGTTCTTAAACGTAAACTTTACATTAAATAAGTTTACCTAGGGAACAACAATATATTAACTATTTGTATACATGTCATCCAGAGGAAGTAAAATACATGAATTGGTTGGTACCTTTTGTATTGCTATCCAAGAAGGATTTTCCTTTTTGTGAGGTCGTGGAAAGACAGGTTGAGAATGAATTGCCCACAAATCTTCTGGTCTCTGTAACAACAGATTTATTTGATATCATCAAATATAACTGACAAAAAATACCATACCACCTTCTTCAAATGATTTAACTATTACCAATTTAAATTAATGCATTACTGGAAATCTGAAAAACATATACATAGGTAGGGTGTTGCTAACCCAAATGGAATGAATACCTTACCAAGTTGGCATCGGGAAGTTCTCGGACAGCTTCATCAACATTTTCTGCAGTGGCTTTCACCTGATATGAGAGGCAAATGATGAAGATAATAAAAAAAAGTATGTGAAGAGATTTATAAGAGGAACTCAACTTTATACTGAGATTCTAAGACAAATCTCATGGTGAACAACATTTTATATTGATAATAGACTACATGTTAAACTAAAAATAGTAGCAAGAGTCACTAACAAGTTCCAGCTATTTGCAGCTATTACGATAACAAAGAGATAGCAATTTCAATTTCATATTTTCTTACGTCTCCCCTGTTACCAATCTCAAAAGGGTATTTGCTCAAACATGTTATAAAAAATCATATATAATAAATGGATGATGATGAGTGTAAGAAGTAGAAAGTGTTAGGTAAACATTAAATGCATGTAGTTGAGAGGTAGTGGTTATAGAGGTAGTAGTTGAGAGGTAGTTGTTGTATTGAATGTATGTAGTTGAAAGGAAGTAGTTGTATTAAATGAATGTAGTTGAGAGGCCATATCCAAAGGGCCTATAAATTGACCATGCATCACTCATTGCAAATATATCAAGTGATAATATACAAAGTGTTTTATTTAGATACTTTTTTGTCTACAAATTGGCATCAGAGCTTGAGAGCCTGAGTGTCTGAGTGCGTTAGAGAGAGTGTTTGAGAGTTAGAGAGTTTGTTTGAGATGGCCAACTTAGCTAACAGCATGTCCCTACCAAAGTTATCAAAAGGCGTAAGCTATGATAACTGGAGCCTGCAAATGAAGGCTCTCCTTGGTTCCCAAGAAGTATGGGATGTGGTCGAAAATGGGCACCAAGAACCAGAGAATATTGAAGAGCAGACGATTGCTCAGCTTGCTGCATTGAGAGCAACACGAGTAAAGGACAAAACGGCTTTGTACGTACTGTACCGAGCTGTTGATGAGTCCGGCTTTCAGAAGATAGCAAATGCTAAATCTTCAAAAGAAGCGTGGGATATTCTGGAGAAGGCATATAAAGGGGATAATCGCGTGAAGCAAGTCAGGCTTCAAACTCTTAGAGGCGAGCTTGAAAGCATGAGGATGAAAGAGGTCGAAGGGGTTGCCGAGTACATCTCCCGTGTTGAGACCATGGTGAATCAACTCGGAAGAAATGGAGAGACGTTGCCCACTTGCCGAGTGGTGGAGAAAATCTTAAGGTCGTTAACTGACGATTTTGAGAATATCGTTTGTGCAATAGAAGAGTCCAAGGACCTGCCGGTGCTCTCGGTGGAAGAGCTTGCCGGGTCGCTTGAAGCGCATGAGCAGCGGAGAAGGAAGAAGAAAGAGGAGTCCCTTGATCAAGCACTCCAAGCAAAGGCAACCTTAAAGGAGAAGAAGGTTCCTTATGCTCAGAACACTCAAGGCCGAGGTGGTAGAGGCGAGAGGAGAATATGAAAGAGGCAAGGAGCCGGTCGATCAACAAAGCCGGCGTGGCCGAAGACAAGGTAGAGGTCGTGACGGTAGAGGCCGAGGTGGTCGGTCAAGCAATTCGGAGTTGAGTGCTTCAAATGTGGGAAGTACGGTCATTTTGCTAAGGACTCGTTATTCGGGTATCAAATGTTATAATTGTGGGAAGGTTGGGCATTTCGCGAATGACTGCCGATCTGAGAGGAAGAAGGAGACAAACCTCCTCTCTGAGGACACTGAGGAAGAAGGAGTATTGATGATGTCAAGAAGTTCGGATGTCGAGCTAAGTCCGAGCTGTTCTGACAACTCGGTTTGGTATCTTGATACAGGAGCAAGTAACCACATGTGCGGGGACGAAAACCTTTTTAAGGAGCTCACTAAAGTTTGAAGCACTTGGTGGATTTGATGAAGACATAATATTTTGTAGATATAGTTTAGTTTGTGGGTGTGTAGATGAATAGGCTAAGTATAGAACTTAATCTCTTGATAGGCCAATATATTTTGTGATAAGCGCCTTAATATGATGCATCTCATTGAAATCATTTTTCTGCATGAAAAACTTACATTTAAGTATTAAAAGAACAATCTAAGTTTTTCAATCTGTTGAAAATGATTTTCAATCTGTTAAAATCACTTAACAGAATAAGTGGTCATACATAGTCGAAATTTTCAATTAATTGAATCGCAGAATCAACAGGTTAAAATCACTTAATGAATTTTTCAATATCAAGGTTTCGCATTTTCAATCTGTTGAAATATTTTTAAATCCATTGAAACAGAAAGACTATTTTTCAGTCTAAGAGTTTTCAGAAAATCAATCTGTTGAAATATTTTTAAATCTATTGAAACAGAAAGACTATTTTTTCAGTCTAAGAGTTTTCAGAAAATCAATCTGTTGAAATATTTTTTAAATCTGTTGAAACAGAGAGACTATTTTTCTAACTAAGTATTTGCAGGATTTCAATCTGTTAAAATGATTTTCAATCGATTGAAACAGAGAGCTATCATTTTTCATAAAACTGTTTCAATCCATTAAAAACTCGAATCAATCGATTGAATGAAGTTTTAAATGAAATCAATCGATTGAATCGACGTTTTAATCGATTGAAATGCTTTCTGATCGATCATAGTTTCATTCTGATCGATCATAACTTGGTCTAATCGATCATAATACAGTTCTAATCGGTCAGAATCGATTCTAACCTATTTTACTTTGTTTCTGATCGATCATTTACCTCTCTGATTCAGTTTTTAATTAATGAAACGTTCGGTTCTCTGTTTTACTTTATAAATACAGATTTGATCTATCTTTTAAAATACAACTTGAGAAAACATTCGAAAATCAATCTGTGAAGCTTTCATATCCAGTGACTTTCTCTCGCATTCAAGAACTTTGTAATATCATAAGGTGCTTTGATCAAGATAGTGGTCAATCAAAGAGAGAAAGTGCTTGTGTTAGAATCTGTTCGGACAATTTTATTGATAGAGCTGCAGTCCAGTGTTTTTTCTTTTCATACTCTTTTGTATAGTGTATTTGTGCAGGTTGGAATTTGATCTCGCACTTGTTACGATGAATCGGATTTGGTTATTGGGTGGTTTTCAAGAGTCTATCTTGTGGGTTTGTAAGATAGTTCTTGGGGTAGATTGGTGAGTATCTACTGGTTGTAAATTTCACTTGGTATTAGTGGAACTTGGCAGATTTGTCAAGAACTGGACGTAGCTCTGGTATAGAGTGAACCAGTATAAATTTGTGTGTTGAATTTCTTCTTTCATCTCTTTTATTTTCTGCCTATATACTTGTTGTGTTTAAAATCAATCTACTTTAGCAAGAATTGAATAAAGATAAATCATTCTTCCAAAAGAAAGTAAGTTTTGCGAAAAAGTTTTATAAAGTTCAATTCACCCCCCCTCTTGAACTCAACCATTAATTCTTTCAAAGTTGAGGTCGGACACGTGTCATTTGGAGATGCATCAAAGGTGGCAGTAAAAGGCAGAGGTACAATCTGGTACCTGCAGAAGAATAGCCGAGTTGGAGAAATCAGAGACGTGTACTATGTACCCGATCTCAAAAGCAACATATTGAGTATGGGTCAGCTGATGGAGAAAGGCTACTCGGTTCTGATGAAAGACCGAGTACTATACCTGAAGGACAAGTCGGATCGTTTGATTGCCCGAGTAGAAATGAAGAAGAACAGAATGTACAAGTTGGACTTGAAGATAGTCCAAGAGAGGTGTTTGAAACTTGACGTGAAGGATGAAGCAATGATGTGGCACTTTCGATTTGGCCACTTACATTTTGGCGGACTGACCGAGTTGGTAAAGAAAGAGATGGTGCGAGGACTCCCGTCTATGAAATTTGAAAAGAAATTATGTGAAGAGTGTGTGCTCGGGAAGCATCCAAGGACCTCATTTCCGAGGACGGCCGAGTACCGTGCAAAGGAACAACTCGAATTGATTCACACAGATATTTGTGGACCGATTACCCCTGAGTCCTTCAGTGGGAAAAGGTATTTCATTTCTTTTATAGATGATTTTTCAAGAAAAACCTGGGTATATTTTTTGAAGGAGAAATCCGAGGTGTTTGAGGTGTTCAAGAGATTTAAAGCAATGGTTGAGAAAGAGACTGGCATGCCTATCAAATCTGTTAGGTCTGATCGAGGAGGCGAGTTCATTTCATCCGAACTCATGAAGTATTGCGAGGAGCAAGGGATAAGGAGATTTCGACAAGCACCATACTCACCCCAACAAAACAGAGTTGCCGAGAGGAAGAATCGAACCATTCTTGACATGGTTCGAACAATGTTGAGAAGCAAAAACGTGCCAAAGGAGTTCCGGGCGAAGCGGTGCAATGTGCCATCTATGTGCAAAATAGATGTCCACATGCTAAGCCGAACGAGAAGACACCGCAAGATGTTTGGAGTGGAAGAAAACCGAGTGTGTCTCACCTTAAAGTGTTCGGTAGCATAGCTTATGGTCATGTTCCAGCTCAACAGAGGACCAAGCTCGAAGATAGAAGCAAAAAGTACGTGTTTATTGGGTATGATGAAAAAACCAAGGCGTACAGGTTGTTTAACCCAATAACTAAGAAGGTCATCATGAGCCGAGATGTTCAAATTGATGAAGAAAGCGAGTGGAGTTGGAACAACCCGGAGAAGGAGTCCATAGGAAGTAGAAGCTCGGAAGTTGATACACCACATACCGTGAGAGATCATGAGACTTCGATGAAGAAGATGAACCTCTACGACCCGGAGCGCGAAGTTTACAAGATATATACAACTCCACTGACGAAGTGCATGTTGTATGTCTCTTGGCAGATTCAGAAGACTTACGTTTTGAAGAGGCCGTGCAGGAGAAAAGGTGGAGAAAGGCAATGGACGAGGAGATCGGAGCAATAGAACGCAACAACACATGGGAGCTAACTGATTTGCCCAAAGGAGCACAACCTATCGGCGTAAAGTGGGTGTACAAGAAGAAGACAAATGCTGAAGGAGAAGTTGAACGATATAAAGCTCGACTCGTAGTGAAGGGGTACAAGCAGAAAAAAGGAATAGACTATGACGAAGTATTCGCCCCAGTGACGAGAATGGAAACAATTAGGTTGTTGATTTCCCTAGCAGCTCAACACAGATGGACAATCTTGCAGATGGACGTGAAGTCGGCATTTCTGAATGGAATCTTGGAGGAGGAAGTATATGTTGAACAGCCACTCGGATACATGCGAAGAGGAGAAGAGAAGAAAGTGCTGAGATTGAATAAGGCACTTTATGGCTTGAAACAAGCTCCACGAGCATGGAATGAAAGAATTAACACTTACTTCAAAAGGAATGGATATGAGCAGTGTCCTTATGAACATGCTCTATACATAAAGAAGAAAGGAGAAGATGTGATGTTTGTTGCCCTATATGTTGATGATCTTATCTTCATGGGGAATAATGCCGAGCTAATTGAAGAGTTTAAAGAAGTGATGAAGAAGGAGTTTGAGATGACCGACTTGGGTCTTATGAAGTATTTTCTTGGCTTAGAAGTTGTTCGGGGAAAGGATGACATTTTTGTGTCGCAGGAAAGGTATGCTTGAGGAGATCTTGAAGAAGTTTAAGATGACAAGTTGCAACCCGGTTTCAACCCCTATGGAACCTGGTACAAAACTTTCTAAGTATGCGAGATGGAGACCAGAGTTGATGCGAGCAAATACCAAAGTCCGATTGGAAGTCTTAGGTATCTTACAAATACCGGACCGCATTTAATGCTAAGTGTTGGAATAGCAAGTCGATATATGGAGGAGCCAAGGTATACTCATTGGAAGGCACTAAAGAGAATTCTAAGGTATGTGAGAGGAACAGTGTCACTTGGCCTAATGTATACTAGGACGGATGATTATCAACTAGTAGGCTACTCGGATAGTGACTGGTGTGGAGATGTTGATGACCGGAAAAGCACGTCTGGATATGTATTCTTCATGGGAAACACAGCATTCACCTGGCTTTCAAAAAAGCAGCCCATTGTAACGTTGTCAACTTGTGAAGCCGAGTACGTTGCAGCATCCTGGAGTGTCTGTCATGCAGTTTGGCTTAGAAACCTTCTAAGCAAGCTGGAGTTGAAGCAAGAAAGAGGGACTGTGATTCGAGTTGATAACAAGTCGGCCATTGAATTGGCAAAGAATCCGGTCAATCATGAGAGAAGCAAACATATTGATGTTCGGTTTCACTTCATCCGAGAACAAGTGAAAGAAGGAAATGTGGAGTTAGAGCACGTCGGAACCCGAACACAAGCCGCAGATATGTTCACGAAGCCACTCGTCAACCACTCGTTCGAGAACAACAAGAAGATGCTTGGAATGAAGGACAAGAAAAGCATTTAAGTTTATGGGGGGATTTTGTTAGGTAAACATTAAATGCATGTAGTTGAGAGGTAGTGGTTATAGAGGTAGTAGTTGAGAGGTAGTTGTTGTATTGAATGTATGTAGTTGAAAGGTAGTAGTTGTATTAAATGAATGTAGTTGAGAGACCATATCCAAAGGGCCTATAAATTGACCATGCATCACTCATTGCAAATATATCAAGTGATAATATACAGAGTGTTTTATTTAGATACTTGTTTGTCTACAGAAAGTAGACGTTACAGAAATGAAAATTCACAGAATTTGAACAACCGAGCTAACGCTACCTCCCTACTTCTAGAAAATTTGACGACAAAGTGCTAATGTCCAGGTGATTTCTACTCTGATAGTGCCAAATAAAACTCAACTATTAAGCATATATTCTCTACCAAATTCTACAGTAAAACAAAGAATAATATTACTTACATGGTGGGGAAAGGAAAGACACTGTACAACTGACAAATATAGACCTATGAATAAGTTGTGCCAATCATGGATATCAAAGAACAAAAATACAGTAGCTGAAATGTTCATAGGTTTGACACGGTATGTACATTGTCTTTCACAATACATCAAAAGCTATTCAATAATGGTTATGCTAAATACATGTTGGAAGTATTCAAGAAAACATCTTAAAAAGGAAAGTTTCTAGTAATTCAAGTTTTGTTAACATAAAATATGCATATTCTTAGTTTTGCCCTGAAATAATATGGGTAAGAGTATATCACAAAGTAAATGTAAAAACAAAGCATCAAATTATCTCGAACCAGTGAGTAAAAAGATAAGACTGAAAAGACAATACTCACCAACTTTGCACTCTGTTGCTCAGCTGTCTCTGACAGTCGGTTTTTTAAGGGTTCTATATGATCACTTCCATCTAGTTGAACACCAATGAAGTATTGAAGTTCACCCTAAATACAAATCGTTCAAAATGACATAAGAAACTAAAAAAGGGGGAAAACAATGCATTGTTTAATAGATATTGAACATTCATGACTCAGATTAATTGTTTTCTGGCAAAACAATATCACAATCACCTTTTGGTCACGCATAGGTTGCAAGTGAAACAAATTCCAGAACTTCTTTCCTACAGATTAGAAATTAGAAGAGTTCAACATGTAAACAATAAATAAACAAAAAGGATGCTAGATTTAAAAAACAAAAGCATATTATCTACATCAGTCAATTGCCACCCAACTTTCGAAATACGACTTTAACTAGAAAAAGTGAATAAAGAAAGCGTATGATTGAAAATGAGAAGTACAACTCGGAGGAAGGATACGTCATCCTCCAATGAAGAGAAAGAGTAAGAAGTATAGATATAATTCGACCATTTATTTACCACTCTTAGTATAGTTGATCAACTGAACAGTGATTTCCCTCTGTTCTCTTATAGCATCCCTTATCTTGTTAACAGTTGCCTGATCTGTTTCTGGTCCTTGAAGAAACCTATACAATGAATGAAGTGAACTATCATGTCACCGAGCTTGCAAACAAAAGCTTGCATTTAGTGTATATTAATATCAAAATGTCAGAGGACATGATATCCTAATCATCAATACGTTGTAGCACTTCTTATGGCTCAGACTTTCACAAATGGACCCAATTTTTTTGGTTAAGGATTAGACTATGAAAATAACATTATGAGGACAATGTATGCCATTAATTTTGTCCCTTAAGAATGCTATCTTATTACATCTAAGTTGACTACTCCTCGTTTTGTGTTACAGACATTCGTACTTTATATCCATAATGATGTCATGCTTGCCTTTGGCACTCCATAGAAATTAATCTTGATCATACATATATTTCCCAATGAGTAAATTTGTAGAACTAAATTGATGATGTATTTTTCTTTGAAAGACAAAAGTCCAGGATTGCTCAAAAAATAACCTTCCACCACAATAAAAGTGATTCACACGTCCCTTACATTGGTTTATGGAATTTTATGTCATGCATTTCTTCTATTGACGAGAACTCTAAATGATAAAAGAAAATACTTGGAAATGATAAAGGACTACACAATCAGGAAAAACATAGACCAACTAGGAAACAGAGTGATACTGAAATGACAACCAGAAAAAAAAAAGTGGACAGAAATCCAACAAAAGAGTGTTTCTTAAAGAGAAGAGAGCACAGAAGATAAATGATACTTTTTGTCTACGAAGATAGTAAAGTTTATACCGACAATTTCGTCCCAAAATTTCTTCTCGTGTATACTCCGTAAGTTCAAGAAAGCTATCAGATGCAAATATCTGCACAGGAAGAAATAACAGTTACTTAAAAGGTATTTTCAACAAACACAACAAATATTATATTTTACATACACATGCTACATGACTGTTTTTGTGTGTATATGTGTGTTTGCATGTTCCAATGGCTATTACCAATTCCAACAGCTACTATATAATCCAAAGCAGTCTTCTTTTTATTTGGTGTACAATGCCAGCAACAGATTACCTGACACCTTTTGCAAACTGCAGAAGTATTCTACATCCTTGTTATTTTGTTTGCATAATTTCTAAGGGATAAAAGGGGGTAAAGGAAAGAGAAAACTAATGGCCTGCTATGGTTTCATTAAAATAATTCTTCTTACACGCATAAATAGAAAGAAAACAAATATATTTGTTAGACCAGTTCTTTTAAGGCGAATTAATGTTAAGTTGAAATCTGACATGCTACGAGAGCATAGAGTTCTTCTTAGTCATTCCTTTTTCTAATAGGCATATGTTGAGAGGTTGTTGGGAAGAGTCTCATGTCGCTTCAATTCTTGGATGCGTCTCATATATCTAATAGACCGCTTCCCTTAAGGCCAACTGGTGTTAAGTTCATATCTCACCAGTTGTTAGTTGAAAGTTCCTAAATGGAGTTATATTATTAAATTTGCAACACACTCCCTCACAGCAAAGGCTATCGGAGTAAGTGTTAAAAACTGTATATTTCCCTATGTAGCTTGCATAAAAATTTCGCTTCCAGATCCATGTTATGTACTGAATAGGTGTATGCGTATGAATGGTTTTAAAATGTACTAAATATCTATCCTGTGTCAAGGACCAAATCTCGTATCAGCTTAAGTTATTAATCAATGTAGGACTGTCCGGAAATCTTTAACTCATCCCTGCAAGAATCTTTTGGACTAGAAGCATGGAGGATGCACTTGTCACTTTTTATCTTATGCTTAATTAGACTTAATCATTAAGAATGGGTGTAGCAAAGAATGAAAGCCTAACATACTTGGCCATACATCCTCAAATACTATGCCAAGAACAAACTCCAAAAGCATTAGTTGATAATGTGATCATCCAAAACTGCATCTATGTCTTTAATGAATAATATATAGATTAAGCTCAAGTCAATTTAGGGGGGAAAAAGGCACCTGAGGCTCGAATGAGAAAAAAAAAATGTCTTACAATTGGGTTATCTGGCAGTCGAGGATCAGAAATCACGAAGTTCTTTTCTATCCTCTCCAATGTGGTTGCTAGATCAATTCCCTGCCTTATGTCCCTCTCTCTTAGTGAGTGCTCCCAATTGTTAGACCAATCTATTTCCTTGGTCATCAAAACCTCAGGTTCAACAATGGCCTTCTCTTCATCTCTCCCTGCAGCACTCAGAGATTTTCCTTTAAAACTGCAATAAAATGAAAACATTTCAGGCACATATAATGAATTACAATTTATAAGGCAAACATTCGCAACAACCCAATAAGAGATATATATTGAATCGTACGTAAGCAAAACAGAAAAGCTTTCAAACAATATTTTTTAGCAGCAAGTTAAGCATTTCGAAAATAAGAACTGAATTATGTTTAAAATGTATAGAGATAAATACCCCTTGAATGCAGTCCGTCCTGATTGTGATGTCCTGCTCTTATCCTGACTAGAACTCATGCGATGGACGTTAAGTGGAGAAGGTTGTCTACCAGGTGTGCTTGTATTCCCAGTATCAGCAGACTTTGGCAATACAAAATCAAAGTTGATTTTCTCTTTCTCTTCTTGCTTGGAGGAAGTATCACCATTCCTATCACTAATAATGGATTTTGGGTCCCTAACAGTTTGGACAACCTCAGTGATGGAACCCAAAGCTTTCTCCTTTTGACGAGCTGGTAAATGAAATTAAATGGTTACAAGTAAAGTCAGAACCTAAGAGACTACTAAAAATGGCTCAACTCATTACCATCATAACGAATTAATGACTTGGGTAATCCATTTGGTCGTAATGCCTTTTCATTCACGCCTTCAGTGTACTTGCTCACCTCAACCTGCATTCTGTAGTAATAACTAACTGTATTAAGAAGTAAGCTTTTTCAAATGTTACTAGCAAAATTGTTAAAAAGGTAGAACTCACATTCAAGATACTAATATTTTTCCTGAAAGAACATTGCTAGATTTGTTAATCTTAGAATTGTGCATGGACCATAACTGTTTTCTTTAATGCATTGCTTTTAGTTTGCTTTGGGGGCATGACTCGCTTATTATTTTCTTTCTTTTTTTTATTTTCAATCAAATGTACTAAACCTCATTCTAGATAATTTAAATCATTTGAACAACAAGTAATAGATATAAGATTAAAATAGATTCCTTTATAATCCAAAAACAAGCCAGAGTCTTCATATGCCTAGCAGCAAAAGGATTTAATTTAAGTTTTGAAAGTAAAGAAAAAAGAAATGATAGACTATGTATTTGTTTGGTTTTGTAGAATAAAATTAAATAATTAGTTTTAGAGTTTATTGGAATAAAAAGATAATAAGGAGATAATTAAGAGTTTGTTGGAATATTTTAATATTGGTGATATTTTGGGTAGTTATTATTTGATTTTGTGAATATTCTAGGACTGTGTATAAATACAGCATTGTATTCTTCAATTGAGGTATGACAAACAATTCCTAAAAATTTCTTTGTTATCAAATTAGTATCAAGAGCTAGGGTTTTTTTTTAGAAGAACTAGGGTTCTTCAAATGAGTTGAGAGCTAGAGTTTCTCAGGAGAGTTGAGAGTTTAGTGTTGAATGTTTAAAAGAGTGAGATAGCTGGTCTGACAAATATTGCGATTGCACCCCGACTGACCAAGGAAGTCGGTTATGATAGATGGAGTGTCTAGATGAAGGTTTTCCTCAAAGCCCAAAGTTGTTGGGGAGTAGTAGAGGAAGGTTTTGAAGAACCGAAGACCAAGGAAGGAAGAATTGACGATCAATGCACTCAAAGAGTTGAACAAGAATTGTGAGAAAGACAGTACAACTTTGTTCACATTGTTTCGAGTTGTAGAAGATACCGATTTCTAGAAGATTACAGATGCTAAATCTGTAAAAGAAGCGTGGACAACACTGGAGAAAGCAAACAAGGGCGATGATCAAATCAAACAGGTTCGGTTACGGGCCCTGTATGATGAATTTGAAAGCATGAGGATGAAAGACTCATAAGAAGTTTTTGAGTACTTCACCCGTGTTAAAATTGTGCTAAATGAACTCAATCGGGATGGAGAGACGATCTTTAAAAATCAAGTTGTGCAAAAAATCTTAAGATCGTTAACCAACAATTTTGAAAACAAAGTTTTTGTCATAGAAGAGTCTCGGATTTTGTCCGAACTAACGCTTTAAGAAGAGACGACTGTACAAGTGCTGAAGATCGAGCCAAAAGATAAGAACATACTCTATTCTCAGAAGAATAGAGGACGAGGTCGTGGTGGTCAGGTCTGAGGTGGCCAATCTGGTCGAGGCCGAGGTGACGAGAAGAAAAAAGGAGTTCAACAAAATTGGCAAGGAAGAGGACGTGGTCCGAGAGGAAGTCAATTGACAACCTACTTAAACATCAAGTGTTTTAAGTGTGGCAAATATAGTGATTATGCGAAGGATTGCTACTCGAGAAAATACTTTAACTGTGGCAAGGAGGGGCATTTCGCCAAAGAATACCAGAAGATGGGTGAGACCTATCTTGCAGAGGATACGAAAGCTGAAAAAGTAATATTGTTGATGGCCGATCTCGACACGAAAAATAGCACTGATGGCATTCAAGAGGATACCGATCACAAGTTGGTATGGTATTTGGATACGAGTGCGAGTAATCACATGTGTGGGGACGAGCACCTATTTAGCAAATTGGAGAAATTTGAGGGTGATCACATGTTTTTTGGAGATAGCTCAGAGGTCTCGGTAAAAGGCCGATGAACTATTTATTTCTTGCATAATGATGGCCTAGTCGGGCCAATCGGAGATGTGTTATATGTTCTAGATCTCAAGAGTAATCTTTTAAGTATGGGACAGTTGAAGAAGAGAGGATACTCGATTTTCATGAAATACCAGATACTAGAATTGAAGGAAAAGCTTGGAAGGTTGATTGTCCGAGTAGAGATGGGAAAAAATAGAATGTATAAGTTGCAGTTGAGAAACATTCGGGTGAAGAGTCTGAAATCAAATGTAAAGGACACGTTGAAGAAGAATCATTGATCTGGTCACATACATTTTTGTGGTCTAAACCGAGTTTATTCATGATGATAATCGTGATGATGATCCGAATGTCCGAGTTGATGAAATGAAAGAGTGGAATTGGGGAGAATCAGAGGAAGACAGAGGAGGCTGAGGTGTTGCAGCACCAGTTGTTGTCAGCTCGGAAGGAGGTCGAGTTGTTACACCATTAGTAGTAGCCAGTTTGGAAACCGAGAAGAAAGAAATAATTTGAAGTTGAAGAAAAACATGAAAAGCGTGGTGCTCGGAATGTCGACCATAGAAAGGAAAGTTTGCGTATGTGTGATGCTCAGATTGCCGAGCATGGAGGGGAAAGTTTGCGAAGGTGTGATGCTTGGATTGTCGAGCATGGAGGGGAAAGTTTGCGAATGTGTGACGATCAGATTGCCGAGCATGAAGGGGAGAGTTTGCAGAGGAGTGGTCGGTAACAAGGCGAGTACCAAGTATAGAGAGAAATCTGAGTTAAGTCCAAGTAGTGGATTTCGAAGTAACCATGTCCGAGCTATTGTGGATAAAATGATCTAAATTGTTGTGGATAAGAAGATCTGAGTTGTTATTGAAGACGAAAAGATCTGAGCTATTATTGACAAGAAGATCCGAGTTGTTATGGCTAAGAAGAGTTGAGTTAGAGAACACAATAACACGATGGTGATGACCAAATTACCGAGCTATGCTCGACCTATTGGTGTGAAACAGGTATTCAAGAAAGATGAGAGATATGACCGAGTTGTTGGTGTGAAGTAGGCATTCAAGAAGGATGAGAAACTTTTGTGTCGGTCTTTAACCGAGCTCAGTCAGAAGAGAAGAGATGAAAAGCTACAAGGCAAGATGGATGTCAACTTGACACTTTTGGACGATGTGCTCAAGGAGAAGGTGTATGATGAGCAACCACTCGGATACGTGAAAAAAAAATGAGGAGAAGTCGGGAATATATTTATCCCAAGAGGCGTATGCAAAGGAGATTTTAAATAAGTTCAAGATGATCGATTGTAATTCGGAATCAATCCCCATGGAACCAGGGACGAAGCTTTCAAAATTTGATGGAGGAGGAGTTGATCCGAGGAGATATCGGAATCTAGTTGAAAATCTTCGTTACTTCACAAGTATCAGACCTGATTTGTTGCTGAGTGTTGGGATTGTCAGTCGGTTTATGAAAAGTCTGAGCTACTCTCATTGGAAGGTGTTGAAGCGAATTTTGAGGTATATCCGAGATACACTGTCATTCAAGCTACTGTACATGAGGTCGGATGATTACCGACTCATCGGATACTCGAACAATGACTGGTGTGGAGATGTCGAAGATCGAGATAAAGGATGGAAGGAACTCGAGGTGTTCGGGAAAATGAAAAGTCGGCTAGTAAGAAGCTCAAAAGTTTGGACCAGTGATGTTTTGAAGGTCAAGAAGTTTTTGAAGTGCAGCAAGTCAGTAATAGGGAGATTGGTCAAGCCGATTTAGCAAATTGTCAAGTTGGGAGGCCGATGTGAAGTCGATCTCATGTTTTAAAGGTCAAAGAAATGTTGAAGACAGCAAGTCAGGAGTCGAGAGATCGATATCAAGACGATCTCAATTTTGCTGAAGACATTTAATTTTACGGGGGAGTTTTGTTGGGTTTTGTTGAATAAAATTAAATAATTAGTTTTAGAGTTTATTAGAATAAAAAGATAATAAGAGATAATTAAGAGTTTGTTGGAACATTTTGATATTATTGACATATTGGGTAGTTATTATTTGATTTTATGAATATCCTGAGATTGTATATAAATACGGTATACCTCAGATAATTAACAATATATAGTTTTACTGAGAAATTCTTTGTTATCAGTATTGTCAAAGATTAAATGTGTTTGGTTTGCCTGAAAGTCCCAAACCATTTTTGGGCAAAATATTGTCTTGTAGTTTACACCCAAATCATAGTTCTGGAATTTGAAACAGAAAACAAACAGTTCTGGAAATACACATGAATGATTTCACATCTTTAGCACACCTCCTCCCACAGGTGTCCTTTCAATTTGAAGTTTAAATAATGATGAACAAAAACCTTATTCTAAACTTTTACTTCATTATTAAAAAAATGAGGGCTCTAGGATGAGTCCTAATCACTTTATCTTAGACATTCTCTAAAAACCTTGATCTATTAAGTAAAGTTCCAAGAATGATTTTATATGCCTAAACCAGCATTTTGTTTCAAAACTTTGGCTTGGTTAACATTAAAGCTGGGCACAGTTGCAGTTAGTCAATCGGATTTCAATTATCAAGTGAGCTTCAGTAAAAATGATACATGTAATACATAAGTTAGTGATGAAAACCAGGAAAAACCAGGTAGGAAGAGCAGGACTGACCCGATGAATTTGATAGTATTGCCATGGTCATCTTTGATGGGGGTGACAGTGAGAAGATTCCAGAATGGAGTTCCATCTTTCTTGTAGTTTAATAGTCTGCCACAATAACTTCTCCCATTTTTAATTGCATCCCGAATTTTCTCCACTTCATTCTTGTCTGTCTCAGGCCCCTGAAGAAATCGACTGAAACCAGAAATTCACTGCTTGATTAATAACTACACTTTTTTAGTTAAACACCGTCTAAAATTAACATAAAATTTTCATGTGCGTTGTATGTTTGCCTCAGTCAACAACTTTTGGTGAAAATGGCCAGCCATTAGGGTGACTGAAACAACATATATTGTAAAAGCAAGGCATGCTCACCAATTCCTTCCAATAATCTCCTTTGAAGAGTAGCCAGTCATAGTGAAAAAGCCACTGCTGGCATACATGATTGGGCAGTCTGGTTTGGTTGCATCTGAGACAACAAATGTCTGTTGCAGCGTCCCCAGTGCTTCCTTCAACTCTTGTGAAACCCTTGGGAACACCCCTGATGATGACTCAGATCCAAAATTTGACTCACCAGAAGTCCGTGCTGATTCACCAAATCTATCTGACAAGTTTCTAATTCTGTCACCATCGAAAGAGGCGCCAGTATTTTCTCCTCCCATTACTTTGAAGTTCCCAGAGTTCACCACAAGACCCCATTCAGCAGTTCTCTCAGCTATGGTTGCTTCAGTTAAAATTTGTTGATCAGACGAGGACTTCTCTTTTAGATGATTCCTCAAGTAATTGTCTTTAGTTTTACTGTTATCCTTTATTGCTGAGTTGCCATCAGTTGCAAAACCAGGTTTACTAGCAAATGCCATCCACTTGTTGCTTGCAGAATTAGTGGAGGCAATTGCCGAACCCCCATCCAATCTCACAGCTTTTGTATCATCATCCTCTCTTCCGATCCTCTGCTGTCCAACATTTTCACTCTCGCGCAATTGGAATATTGGAAATGAATCTGCCTGATCACTGCTGCCATCAGAATCATGCTTAACAGATACTTTCAGTTTCTCCATTTATGAGTTACCTCTGTTGATGATTACTACAAACAAACTAAAGGGTACCACCACCTACCAAAAATTTACACAAAGAAATAAATATGCAAGTCCAGTCTCACTAAGTCCGAAGCAATGATTTTATGGACCAGAAAACCCAGTTCAATTTCATGGATACAACCATCATAGCAAATCATACAGAGACTTCTAGTGATATTAAGTGCAAAAAAAAAAAAATGTAAGTACTAATGCAGATTCTGATATCATGCTAGCAGGGTTCAGATGAAATGACAAAATTAATGAGTCTAAGTACATAACGTACATGTAATAAACAACAAAGAAAAAGAATAATCAAACTAGCCAAACTTCACCAAATTGTGCAGAAAGAGAGAGATAGAGAGACATAGTTTCTTCAAGCAAAAGTAATCTCACAGAGTCTCTCTATGTAAGGAACAGTCAAACGTGAAGACTTTCTAATGAAAACTTGAAAACGGTCTTCTGTTTCGGTTGGATAATTAATCTTTCTCTCTAACTTCTTCCGCTTTCACTTCATGTTGGGCTTCAAATAGAAAAGATAACGTCTGAGGTTCACATAAACAGAATAAACACGTCCCCAACGCTTATATATAACAAAACCACTAAATATTTTAAAAAAAATACGATGATATTCTTGAGGCAAGAGCAAACATGTAATATCCATTTATTTATCCACCATCTTGGTTGAAAATAAATAAAATAAAAGATGGAAATCACTGTTTTTATTTTTTATTTTTTTTACTTTACGTTTTTAACCATTGTTGTTAGTTATTGAAATTCACTACTATTGACGTAGGTTTCAGCGGATGCTACTTTCTTCATGTTCAGTGGTTTTCACATGAGTTTGTAGTTCCAACCCGTAAAACATGGATAAATGGTCGTGGTGACCATGAAAGTGTGTCCTTCAATATGACACTAAATTGTATTTTCCGATGATGAATTTGAAATTAAATTATAAGATTAAGGAACCAAATTGTTTTTACATTAAACAAGTAAAGAGTGAAGGAGATTTATTGTTCAAGTACTAAATTGGAGAAAAGGAAAGGAATTGGGAGGTGGGGTAAGGAAAAATTGTGAGGCCAGAAAGTATTTGGCGTGGCAAATTATTAGAGATAAATTTCACTGTCAATATTTAATATTTGGGTTCCCTCTAGAAAGATGACAAGTGAGAATAATAGAAGGGAAGGTGGTGTGTGGCAATGCGATGTGGTGGTAGGAACTTCCACGACAACGGAGACAATAACACCAAGAAACTCTATTAGCCATGTAATGGCCGCATTATCGTCTGATACAGATACCACGTGGGACTGCTTACCCTTTGCCTTCCTCATGCCGCTTTCATCCCTCACCTCTGCACAAAACATAACATCATTCTATTTCTATTTCTATTTCTATCCAAAAAAAATATACATTCAAATTTCTATGTTTTACAATTGACTCCATCTTAAAATTTAATGCTCTTTCTACATGGATTGAGTATAATCTGTTTTCTCTATTCATGTAATGCGTTTATTCTATACAACAACAACAACAAAAAATGCTCTGATTTCAGTTTGTTTCAAACTTTATGAAAATTAGAACATGGTGATATTCTTCAAAATAAAACGTAAGTTTATAATTTGTAAAATAAAAAAAAATCACTTTTAATTTCATTGAATACAATCATACTTTTTTAAAATCAAATTCAACAATCAAGTTCTTCTTCATACCCTTTGATTTCATCATTTAATTTGCAGTTGCTTAAACTCCCCAGCCACTAGAAACCTTTCCTTTCCTTTTTCTATTGAAATGTTCATCTTTTCTTTGAGTTATTTCTCACCACCCAAAACTATTCTATGATTAAAAAGTTAATATCTTCCAGCATCGTAACACAAGGCTCAAAATCTTGTATAATTCCAGAAGATGATGTTTGATCACTCACTCGTAATCTTTGAGGAATTGGTACATTTGACATTCCTGCCTTAAACATTTTTCCATCTAATATCTTATTTATTTCCCAAAGCATCTTTACCTTTACTTTTACCAAATGAGGATACACAAATTTTGAAAGCTTCTTTACTTTTACTTTTATCAAATGGAGGATACACAAATTTTTAAAGTTTTGGGTGTGGGTATTTTTATATATAAAATATATAACAAACGAAAATACACAAATACTAAATATTAATAATATCTTAATTATAATTCACTGAATCAAAATAATAATTTAATATTTTTTTATTTTATTTTTTCTTAAAAGATAATAAAAATATTTTAATTTTTAATTTAAATAAAAGATAATAAATTAATATTTTTAATAAAAAAAAGAAAAAAATCAAATTTAGTATATAAATTAGACAACCAGTCAAGATTATCAAACTCAATTTATGTAGACTCATGAAAAATATAAATGTAACAAGAAATATAAACATTATAATATCAACTTTATCTCACTAAAATAAATAAGTTTATATAATATTTATTTCTTATTTTTATTATCCAAAACATGTATTTTATATTTTCATCCAATATTTGTTCTATTTTTTAATACATTTTTATTTTTAAGTGGAAGTGAAGATATAATTATATTGTCCCTAGAAAAATAATTTGAACAAATTCCAAACATTTTCAAAATTCAATCTTTATATTTAAAATAACCAAAGACAAAAAAAATTATTCCCAAATTAGAATCATAAAATCCCTATATTCCATAATCTATATGCAACAACAAAAAATCTTTAATCCCAAACCAACATGATATCCTGTAATCCATATCAAAATCTCAACCAATAAACAACAACGATCTACACCAACAACAATTACTTCCACAACGACTTCAACTGCAAGTAACACGACAACAATTAATGTAACTAATACAACCGATGATCAACACAATACAACGTCGATAACAACCAACATATTACAACAACAACCATCATGATCAACACAATACAACATTGACAACAACCAACATAAAACAACAACGACGACCAAATGTAACAATGAGCGATGAAAAAAAGATAAGGAGTACAAAAAAAAGGACAAAAACGCAAATCCAAATCTAATCCAAACTCTTTGACTCTCCCTAAGACCTACGAGTTTATTTGAATCCATCGAATTTAATTTGAATCTACTTAAAAACGAATCTACTCTTAATTCGTCTAAATTTGATAATCATGAAAACAAGAACCAAGTCAATATTCACCCTAACCCAATCCCAAATTCCAATAGCCTACAATATATAGGCAACCAACAACCATAGCCGGCCCTCCGTATGATTGTTAAAGTCTAAAAAAGTAACTACTTATTGAAAGCATAACCAAAAGCATTGAGTGAAATTTTGTTGGGTGTAATCACAAGGGCGTGAACTCTCTTATCAACATTTTACGTCACAATTGAAATTCTACCTCTAAAGTGTATTAAGAAACAATTAAATAAACCTAACAATGCATTCTAAATTCAGTACAACTTATGATAAGTAAAATCCCTCAGCATGTGGATTGAATCTTAAACTGCATTAACAATTTCTTCACACCGCACAGTACAACACATACTGAAAGCTAGTTAGCTTTTTATTCCAAACAAACTTGTTGTGTATAAGGGCTTTCTATCACCAAACATATGTATACACGTATTGTTACTAAAATACAAGTGACAGTAAATACAATTGTTTCGTGTTGCTGCCAAGTGTTGTAAAATAATGAAATAGTTGCTGTTATGTAATTTACACCATTTAGAAAATAAAATTTAGCTCCAAGTATTCACCAAATGCGGTTGATTTTAGACTTCTGACGGAATTGCTTTTTTGTGGTACACCATGGGCCAGGAAAGGTGCTCAACTGCACATAAGAGAAAACAATTAGCCTGAGAGGCACATATTCTCGTGTAGCCGACAATTAAGTTGGTACAAGATTATTAAAGAAACAATCAATTTATCCAAAAATCAATGCATTTTTATACGAAGGTTTCAAGACTTAAAAGTTGACAGAAAATTAGCATCCTCTGCAGCAAACAAAAATCGAACATTTTTCCGTGTAAGCGGATAACTCACACTGCCAAGAATCTTTCCACCAAACCATGCAGTATCCGCACCGAATGGAGGAGGTATGACTCTAATTCCATCGGATATATAAGGAGGAAGTGACGAATGAAGTTCCTTTTCTAACCTTTCTGAAACCGGAAGAACCGAAAAGTATAATTAGAAATCTTAAGTAGTTCCATTTCATCATTCTTCTCTGTTGCAAAGATGTAAAGTTCCCAGAAAGAGAGATATACCTGCTAAACCAGGTAAACAGGCAGTTCCCCCTGATAAGACAACAGTCTTGTACCAATCGTTGTTACCTGCTAATTCTGCAGAATAGCAATGCTCCATACAAAGTGCGATGGCCTGCTGCAAACCCATTGCTCGCCTATACCAAGAAGTAAAAAATACATTAAGATACAGTTCTGGAAAATGTAAGCAATTTATGTTACACATTTACAAACTCCTAACAGATGTTGTGTATACCTCCCACTCCTTTTTAATATCATGTTAACTTGAATTAGTAGCAATTAGAGTGGGCTTGTTCATTTTTCAATTTGTCAAATACACAAGGTCTTTTTATGTACTAGATCGAGAAAGAAAAGTAAAATTAGGATAAGAAGCAATAAATCTCCCAATACAATCATAATCCACCAAACTTTCATCTAAATCTTAAAAAGCCTAACACACCCTAAATTATTGAAAAAGGTTAGAAGTTGGGAAAAACAAATCTGAAATGAAAAATATCTAATCAATTAACAAGATATATGTCAGTCTATCCAACAAAATATCCTCACTCTTTTCTGAGAGCAAGCTGAAGGATCAAATCAGTGTCTTTTTATCAAAATTACTTTTTTTTCAAAAAAAAAAACATAGTTTCTTATTATGATAAACAAATTACAGTTCAAACAAATGCAAAAAAAAAAATGACAGTTTATAGGAACAAAAGATCATGAGAATATTGGAATTTTAATAATATTTCAAAAGACTGCTAAGCATGTTTTTCTTAATAAGTCATTCAATTATGGTGATAATAACATGCTAGTTTATTGAATCACACCAGAGTCATCATAGATATGAACATAACTTCTATAGTAAAAGTTTATAGTTGTATACTGAATCTGACCATGATGCAAAATGTACAAAAACTTACACCCCAGCAAGTCGTGGCTGGAATAAGATCTCCCCTGTTTGAAACCGCTCTTTTGAGAGTGTAAACAACCCTTCTACAGCTTCAAATGACGCTTGTGTATCTTTCAATAGCTCAGCTTCATAGTCAACAGCAACATAACATAGCTTCTGTTTCCATGCAACTAATGAAATATCAGACAACTTAATTCAGATGACTTTGAATGAAAAGAAACATGCAAGTATGGTACCAATCACTCTCACCAAACTTAAATAAAGAAAAGAAAGGTGACAAACACAACATATATATAAAGAGAAGACAAAGGATTTGATATCATTTAGCTACACATGTTTCAAGCCTAATTATGTCTCTGTATTCTCTCTTATATTCAGGCATCAAATCTGATATCCAATCAATTTATTGGGTTTGGGTTATATGGGCTGCTCCATCATGACCAGCCCATTCTGACACTTTCTCTTCTATGTGTTCCAAAAAATGTTCCTAATCCACTCTCCTTGCACAATGTAGGGAGAATATATCCTAACAAAAAGGCTGCCTAAACCAAGTTATGAATTACAGGCAGACAAGTTCAGAAGGACCAACATCAATGTCATAGCTGTTGAGTGTTGACAGCTTAGAGATAAATCACGTCCCTAGAGTACTTATTAGCACTTAGTTTATGAACCTGTTTCTTTTTGTGTTTTAATTGTTTCCAGATCGTCGGTCATAATTTAATAGAGTATTAGGTCGTCAGTCTTAGGGAGTTACTTTTGAAAGTACATTTTGTACATATTCAGTATGAATTAACAGAAATTGTATCTCAGATAATAGCATTTCTTACCAGTTAACAGAAACAATTTTTTCCTGTCATCTCCCCCACATGTACAAAGAAAAGAGCTTTCATGAGGGTGATGATCAATTTCTTATTTTACTAGGGTTACACTATAGCTTCCCTCAATGATCCTATTTTATGTTTATCTGTTTCCCCCTAATTGATTTGATTATTTTATTAATTTTACAATTTTTTAGGAACTTAAATTGTTTTAAATTAATTAATTTAATTTGAACAAATGTAATTAATTGTTAGACTTTTCTGATAATCAAAATTGGGAATTTTGTACAATCAACCTTAATTTCTAATGTTCTGTATGTTTATTCTTAGTGTTTTTCAAAATATTATTTCTATATGAACAACTGGGAATTTATTTTAGAGAAAGATCAACCACCATGGCCAAAAGTGATTGAGTCATCATATTAGGTAAAGTAATCAATAGTAGCAAACCAAAATCCATATAAAGGGAATTGACGGTTAGTGAAAATGCAATCTAATGTTTTAAGAAATCACTTTTCCTCTAAAAAGCATTTATTTTTATCTTTTATCTCTTTCTAAAAGTATTGAATCCGTTTCAACTATTTGAATTTGAAATTGCTTGGCCTGCTAAATGGGATATCTTTAGCAATAATTACACATTAGTATCTAAGGTACTATTATCTGGACTTTTAGATCCATTATTACTGCTGTGTGAAACCGATTTGCCCTAAAGCACATATTTTCAGTCATCAAAAGGAGAAAACTTGAAATTTATTTGTTCCTCATATATAAGGATTCAAAGGTGTGAAGTGAAATTTTAAAATCAAATTCAACTCGAGAGCTTAGAAGAAAAAAGCATTCTGACTAGATTGAAGATGTTTAGGTGAATAAGGTATTCTAAATTTAATAAGCAATATTGGGGATCCACTTTTGTCTTCTCAAGAACACTGAAGCATCAAATATAAGCAAAAATCTCATCAATCAAAATAACTATAACTATTTCAGAACAGAAAGGACAATGGTAATACCTCTTTCAGTGTGCGAACAGTGTATAAAGATTCAAAACTTATGTTGTTCTCTTGCATTTGTTTTCTAAGAAATCCAGTAAGTTTTAGTGCTCCCAGCCCCACAACTTCAACACCCACCTTTCGCATCACTTTACCTTTTAAAACTGTAAAACAACAATGCACATGCACTCATAATGAGCAGGAGAAAGAAGATACTGTCCATAAACTCATTTTATTCAGACAAGGGAACATGTAGGGATTAGAACATAAGAGGTAACGTTCAAGTCATTACCACCTCTGAACCCAACCAAAAAACAGACTAAGGCATTTCCAGGAATATATTTTATGTGAAAATTAAGAAACATGAGAGAATAAAACCGTATAGCATACTTGGAACTACAGATGTCACTTGAAATCCTATATTAACAGCTATCCCAGATGTTTGTTCTGCAGCATACAAAGCTAAAGTCCCCTGGATTTTACAAAGTAGAAAAGAAATAAGTAATAATGGTAAAGACAAATAAATGTATTTGAAATAAACACCCATTCATGTCTGAGCAAAACGGATAAGCAATTACATTCACGGGAAAACATAAATCTACCCTTGATTAAGTGTAGTTCATTTTATACCGCTATGTTAATTGAAAACAGTTTCCTTTGCACCTAGGTTAGGCTCTTAAGGTGAAATAGAAATACAATTCTATTCCACTAAATCCATTGGTATTTTGGAATTTTCACGTCTGATTTAACAACTATGTTGCAAAGACATGGGTACAAACTGGTACCCAATACGTGATATGGATATGAATTTCTAAAAATCAAAGATATGGACCATCAATGTAGATTTTTAATTAATTGACAGTAAGATAAAATTTCATATAATAAAATTGCATAAAAGATAGAAACTCGTCAAATTTAGAACATGCAATGAAATAAAAGAATGCCAAATTGTAGTAAATTTTGTGACATTATCTGGAGAAAATAATTTAACATATATTGTTGTCAATAACCAAACAATACCAATAATACAGGACTAACAGTCTTAAAATTTGGTTTTGGGCCTTTATTAACCATACAACACTAGTTTGCAGGTGAGCGTTGCCCCCCCCCCCCCCAACTTACATATTTTATTTTGGTCATATTTCTAGATGAAGTGGGATCCTTGACAAGTAATAATGCCAATAATTTACTCTCAAACCAAATCAGACATGTATTTGATCCTGGACGACCCCAGAATGATTGGTTAGATTGAAGGGTGGGTGCAATGCACACTCATTGGTACAGAAAGAACTTGCATGTGCACCATAGAGCAGAAGAGTTACTGCAAATGTACTAGCACATCCCTTGTCACCACTGCCATTTGACACCACAGCACCACTCAACTTCTTTCCATCACCATTTAAATTTGCACACCATGTCACTAGTCAGATCACTCTCCTAACTCTATCAACAATGCAAGTCACCTCCCCATTACCCATTGCCACAATCAATGAGTTACCCTAGACTCTCTTCTTGGCTAATGAGTGGCTAACAAGAATGAATTAGTCTGATTAGATTGGGAGACGAATATGACAACAACAGCAGGGGAAGACCCGACCTTTACTGAAAAATGATACCATTCTTGTTACTGTATCTTCTGTTATTTCCTTTCTTAATCTCCATCCTATAAGAAAGAAATTATTGATTGTTACTGAAAAATGATACCCTTTCTTAAAACAGAGCAGAACATGACATGAGGAGAATGCTTGTATATTTTGGTTCCTGTTTAAAATATATAAAGCAGGGGATCAGAGTAAAATGATCTATTTTGTTTATATTCTAAATGCCAAATGTTAACTTCGTGAACATGTGAGAATAAAGAGTTTTATTGATCATCATCATCAATTCAATTAACATGAAAAACACGGCTAAGCTATATATCATTTTCTACAAGAGATGGAGTGGAAGGACACCCATTGTCTTTATTGAAAGGGATGGAAATATAAGATGGGTTAACTTGCATGTGAGCACTTGAAAGAGGCTATTTATATTAAAATTAATTGAAGCGGGCTACACAAGTATACTCATTAAACTGGTGCAAGTACAAAATCCATTTGTCTCTTGTAGTAACTAAGTTAAAAGAGGAAGAAAATGGATTCTCCAAGCATAATGCTAAGAGACAATATTCAGAATAGGAAAAATGGTAACTGGATCTGATTGTTCTTTATTCTCATTAAATCCTTACCTGATTGAGAGCACAAACAGCAGGAACGTTCATGTCAAACAGGGCAGCATAGATTGCCTCTTTAAGCTGCTGTCTTGATGCTTTGGCTGATTCAGTATCTGCAGGTATGCAACAAAACAGAACATTATACAGCTAGAATATCATGATGTATCAAATGAGAGAATATAATCTTCACCACATAACTAAACTGAATGGTTAAGAAGGATCAAATTTAAGCAAAACAATTTTTACCATCCATGCATGGTTTATATAGTCAAGATTAAATTGCCTCTCACAAAGTAAACACAGCCAATGTGTCTGTAGATCAAATCAACGACTTGACCCATCTATCTGACAATTTTTCTCATTTTCATTAAGCAGAAAAACTCTACATTTTGGCCCCCATGTGAGGAAGTATATCCACTATGTCTGTACCAGTTGCTATAGTTATGGTGTTAGATTTTGCCACAATAAAACACTAGCTCACTCAGCAAAATCTAACACCATTATTATTCCGGCAAACAACATGGACCTGTGTGTAAATATTCTTCTATAGGGATCAAAGCAACATTTTTTTTAAAATTTAACCATGAGTATATTAAAAAATAGAGTATCGCCACATTTGTTCTTGTGGAAGATTGAAGTGGTGACACAAAAGGACAACTTCAATAGCTAGTTTTTATCTTTGAAAGGCTAATTTGGGACAAAAATATTCAAATGACTACAACATGGTGACACTAATCTTTACAAGACCAATAAAAGGCTTTACTCAATATTGATCCCCATAGATATGCTAGCAATATTATCCTTCAAACGATAAAGTATCAAAAAACAATTATGAACATATACATTCTCAGTACTCTTTTTCTTTCCCCTTGTATTAACAACAGCAGAAAACCATAAAATTTAACTTAACTGACCATCATAGTGGCAAATTGGTATAGAAACAACAGCTGGTTGAGAACTTGGTTTCACCTGCATCCTACAGAGCAAGTAACCCAACATATTATCACCATTTAGCACGGAATTAAGCAATCAATAAAAACTACTGTCTTCCACAACTAGATTGCTCGTGTTCCATGACATTCATCTACATACACTTTGTTTGCGTAGGAATTGAGGGGATGGGTGAAGATGGAATTAAAATAAGTAGTTTGGTGGGGGAGAAAAAGAGAAGACAAAATTTTATAATTAACAGGACTCATTGTACTTTTTGTCACCATGTTTGTCTTTACCTCTCTACCTCTCTCCTCTTCTCTATTTAGCTTCAACAAATACATCAATTTCTAATGTATTTTCATTCTACCAACTTATTCCCATTCAACCTATTTTTTCTCTTCTCTAGCAAACAGGGCATAAACGACTTATCAAAGCTAGTGAACTGCTCCACCAACAAGAAGCAAAACGCATAACGACACACGCACCTGTTGTAGATAGTACCGAAAAAATGTCGAAGTCTAGTATACATGGGCGTTTCAACGTTACCAAATTCCTTCACACAAAAAATAAAACAATCAACACACACACGAAACACGTCAAATCCAAAACATTCGCTCAAAACAGAGAATCAAGACATGAAATACGTCACCAAAAAGGTCGCGAATTGCCCGGAAGGAGAAGCGTCTTTGCTCCAACCGAATTTGCAATAGCCAGAACCCCCTAAGACGAAGGAAAAAAAAAAGACTAAACACAAAAGCGTCTCTAGAAAGAACGAATAAACGGAAGAAACCGAAGAGTGATCAAAACGAACCGTCGATGACAACGGACGGAGGGAGCCGTTCACGGAGGGCGTAAACATGCTGCAGCGAGACACGTGGCGAGCTCTGAGCAGCCAATGTCCTGCAGTTTTCAATTAGGGCAGAATCGAAGAAGCAAGTGGAAGAGGGAACAGGGAAGAGAACAGTCAGTTAAGTAATAAGTAACGTACGGAAGAGGGTAGCCGGAGCTGAGAGCGGTTTCGGCGAAGAATGCGGAGTGGGGGTGGTGAGTGTGGAGGAAGTGGGCCCAGAGGTCGTTGTCGGAGACAAGAGATCTCCAGGACTTGCTGAGAAGGCTGAGTCTGGCGGCGTGTCTGGGGCCCAAGAGTCTCACGATTTGCATCAGTATATCGGCGGGGAGAGGGTCGAAGGCGCCGAGAGGAGATGGCGCGCGCTCCGAGGATGGGTTCGGATTCGAATTGGAGCCCGTTCGCTTGAGCGTCGCGGATTCGCACAGTTTTCTCAGCAGTGTCGCCATGAAGATTAACGCACCGCGAGTCCCGTTGGTAGGTTTCCTTTGGAAAACTGCAATGTCAGGTCTTTTCTGTTTGATTTTTGGAACGGGGACGTGGGATTGTTGGATTCTTTCTTATCGTCCTTCTCCGAGTAAATCAAGCTTCCATTGGTTGACATGTAAGATTTGAAATTAATTTATGAAATTGACAAAGTTTGGATGAAAAAAAAATACATTTTTTATTATTATAATTTCCTACATGAAGCGTATGAAAAGATTTTGCGACATAGATGTCATACTTTACCAAACACAATGAGTATCTTTACATGTGAAAAATATGGTTTCTTCTCCTCAAAGTTAGTTATAAGGAATGGGAAGACTATAACCCTGTGCTACGGATTTAAAATTCTTTTATTTTATTTACTTCATCACTTATTGATTATTATTTTATGATAAACATATATATAATTGAGATTATATAAATATATGATTTGATTTAAAAAAAAATTGTTTTACTCAGATGTGGAGAGAAGGGGTGGCATGGTGGATCATGACCATCCCAAATAATTTTTCTCAGTACTATGAATAAAAAAAATATTAATCACCCAAACTTTAATAATTTTTCGTTTTCAATTCTACTAATTTAGAAACTTAAATCTACTACTCGAATCTAAAAATATACTAATAGATAAGAAAATTTCGTTATGAGGTATAATAAATATATTGTTTATAAGTTTTTTTTCTTGAAACAAAATATAAAAAAAATGATAATTTTACATGCCCTTTCGATACTTATTTTATATAATCTTAAGAGAATTAAAAAATAATAATAACGAGGTCCCAGACCTCTCTTATTTTATACTTAGATTTCTTTTTCAACTTATCCTCCCATCAATATGAAAGACTTTTACAATGATATTATATATTTTTAATTATATAATCATATAAATTATTGTAATATTTGGAGTTTAAGTAATTTATTAAACATAAATTCTCCGTCATTTAGTAGGATTCATGACACTAAGTTATGATAGGGCAATATGATGTAAGTATAAAGTATAATGTAAGTTGTCGTTGAAGATGCAAAACTTGCATTCAAATTCAATTATAAACATGATTAAACAAGCTAATTCAACTTTCATATTCTCTTTTGAAAAATTCGAATTCATTCTTATGCAGTGGCATTGGGGATTTTATTTTGGAATATGATTTTGATGATCCTTCCGCATATTCCTTCCACATCATTTTCAGTGGCACTTTCAAGTTTGTATGATTCTTCATGGGAGCAGATCTAAGGAGGGTAGATATTTGGCACCCATCATTATTATTATTTTTTTAATAAAAAAATTTGCTTCATGCAAAAGTAACTTTTTCTTTCAAGGTTTTATGTGAATAATTGTTTGCAATCTAACTTGCTTTTACAACTCCTTAATTTTTATAAATAATATTGACCTAAGTTCCATGCTTATCTTGATTTCTGTTAAACTTCATAGTCACTTTAATAAAATAACATTGCTAATCAAAAAGAAAAAAAAATACATATTAACTAATAACTATAAATACTTTTACATAATAGAGGTAAATATATTTATATAATTATTATTTTTTTATATTATTAATTATTTTATTAAATTTTTAATTATCAACAAGTTTTTTGTCTCATAACTTATTAAATAATATATATATATATATATAAATTTAAATGTCATAAAATAAAGTGTATCATAATAATTCATCATATTTACCCAATGATTTTTTTTTTACGATTCTAATAATAAACATTTACAACTAGTCATCAATATATTAAAAAACAATATATATATATATATATATATATATATATATTATTTAAAAACTTAAATTGATATAATAAGAAAATGAAATAATATATTATAATTTTATTAAACACAAATATTTATAAATAAATATGTAATTTTATAATTAAACTTTATCATATTTTAATTACATGATTCATATAAATTATATTAAAAGTAAGATATCTCTTTCATTAAAATTACAATTAATTATCTAAAATTGTAATTTAGATCACATTTTTATTTATACAATGTATATAAAATATAATTTAAACCATATTTGGTAAAAGTATTTTATTTACGTGGTTACTTCTTAAAATTATAAAAAATTATATACGATTTAAACTTACAAACCTTTTTCAATTTTTTTATTCAAAAATAATTGGATAATATTTTAATTAACTATATATTGTTAAATTTAATATCAATAATAATGAATACAAATCTTAAATATATAATAATATATGTTCGCATATTATATTTAAACAAAAAAGAGAGAAAAACAAAATATCTGATTCTATTATTTTTAAATTCAGTTTTTTTTCTCAGAATAAAAAAATAAATTACTTATACGATCAAACAAAATAGTTAATTAAATATAATAATTATTGTATCTTGGTTATATGTTAACGACACGACCCTTAAAAAGGGGGAAAAATTATGTCGTATTCAAGCACAAAAGGTAGGTGTTAGCACGTCTGTTTCAGTAATATAATAATAACAAACTTCAACATGAGTCAGGTTCAAGTTCGTATCTTAATTCTGATTAATGTAAAAAGTATTATTAAAACAAAAGATTAGAAGATGATGGAAAGAAACAAAATTTTGAGTTGGATCTAAATTGTAATAATTGAAAGGAAAATGTAGCAAATGATGCGCGAAGACCGAGAGTGACGACAATACGTGGTGGGAGCGGCAGAAACATAGGCTACGACACATGAAGGCCCAGAATGAGTTAAAAAAACCTCACTTTGATGTTCCATATTCATCCTTCTTCTCTTCTCTTTTTTTCTCTCCTTCCATGAATTTCTCTTCTCTGCAACACCCACAGACCTCTTTCTTTTCTTCTTCCTTCGAATTTCAGTTTCAGTTCTTGGATCTCTCCTGCTTCTCCTGATCATCTGCACTTTCTATTCCTGGTTTCAGTTCTTGGATCTCTCCTGCTTCTCCTGATCATCTGCACTTTCTATTCCTGGAGCTTGGGAACCCCTGCTCCTTCTTCTCCCTCGTCATAGGGTACACTTTCTGCTTCCATTTGAAGTAACTTTTCCCTTTTTGTTTCTTTATTTATTTATGTGTTTGTTTCGTTTCTAGTTAATATTTTGGACTCGCAATTTAGGTTGGGTCTGATCGAATATCGATTTGTATCAAGTATCCCAATAGTCAGGGCCTTGAAATATTTTACTGATTATGAATGAGATTATGTCTTGAATTCTTTATTTGCATGTAATTCTGGTGTTGGTTGGTTAAGTCTATTAATTTATCCATGTTTTAGTTTAGTCTCTATGAAGCATATATAGTATAGTTTATGCTTCAAAGAATCGAATCAAATAACATGCCCAAAACTAATTTTCCCTCTCTCTCTCTCTCTTAAAAAAGAAAGATGTATAGTTTATTTGTTCGACTAATAGTATCTTGCATGCTGATCAAAGGTACTTAATAGATTATGAGAGGCTTAGAAACTTGCACAGTAAAAAGGTGTGGGGAGGGCTAAAAATTTGTTTCATTACAATTTAGGACGATATAAAGTTGGCACCTAGAAAGATCCTAAGCGGTGATGTACTTGAAGGGAAGTTTTGATTTCAAGAAAAGTTTTCATTTTAGATCAAAGGATCAGTAAAAGGGTCTTACCATTCTTCTGTTTTGTGAAATAGCTTGTGTGTGATTGATGACCACACTGAAACTATATGCATAGAGACAGTGAGTGATAATTCATTTTTGTACTAAATTTTTCATTCTTACATGTCAGTTACCAGAGCACCATTTCTGGTTTATTGATTGGCAATGGGAGCTACAATGGGAAAGGGTGACTCACCCAAAAAGGGATGGATGCCAGAAACCAAGATGGAGGCTAAAATGGTTGAAGCAATGCAGCGGAGGGAATCACATGGAAGTTCTGTGAAATCATTCAACACTATAATTTTGAAATTCCCAAAGATTGACGAGAGCCTTAGAAAATGCAAAGCCATATTCGAGCAGTTTGGTAGGTTTCCACTTCAAATCTACAGTTTTTTAGATTGCATTTTGATTCAAGAATATATTTGGCCTGAAAGCGGATACCATAAATGTCACTTCAAAGTAAGAGTAAGCAGTAACTGTCGTGAAAGACAGCATCTAATCCAATTTTTAAACACATCAATGTTGATTGTTAGATTTTATGTACTATAACTGAGTTTTTTCTTATTTTTGTGGTCAATATCTGTTATCTGTTGAGTCCATTCATAGGCTTTAGCTGTGCTGCAAAAAGTTCTAACATTGTTTTTGTTAGCATTAATGCTCACTCAAAATCACTTATTGGCATTTAGATTTTGTTATAATGCTTAACAGCTCTGTGTTGATACCTTTTCTTATAGATGAGGATTCTAATGACACAATAGATCCAGAGGAGTTGAAAAAGTGTTTCAGCAAGCTGGAAATTTCTTTTACCGAGGAGGAGATAGATGATCTTTTCGAAGCATGTGATATTAATGATGATATGGGAATGAAGTTCAATGAGTTTATTGTACTTCTTTGCCTTGTCTACCTTCTCAAAGATGACCCCGCAGCTCTTCATGCTGTATCCTAGCACACATTCTGTGCCATTAATTTCATTACCATGAGGCTATTTATGTGATGTAGGGAGAGATTCTTAAAAGAATTGAATTTTGAAAGATAAACTAGTAACCTACTCTAATGTGCTGATTGATATTTGAATTAGTTGGGGGTTTCTATGTTTATCTACTGAGTATTGAATCTGGATTCTTGTCATTTTGCAGCTTATGCCCCAGATGTTTTGCACTTAATGAAAAATTCAGTTCTATATGCTCATTCAATTTTTCTGTAATGGTCTTGCTTTTCTATTTCGTGCGCTTCTTCAGGGCAGCCTAGAATTTCTTCATGCTTACCTTCATGTTTTGGTTTGATAACAACAAACCTTGAATTTCCATGTTCTGCTGGCTTTTCAAATTGTTACCATGACTTCCCTAGAAATCACGAATCGGAATGCCAAATCTGGAGGCAACATTCGAGACTTTGGTTGATACATTTGTATTCTTAGACAAGAACAAGGATGGCTATGTCAGCAAAAATGAGATGGTCCAAGCTATAAACGAAACCACAACCGGGGAGCGTTCTTCCGGAAGAATAGCCATGAAAAGATTTGGTCAGTGGTCTCTCTCTCTCTCCCTCTCCCTCTGTGTAAATAACATGCATATAAACTCAAAAGGGCATTCAAGCATGCTTAAACACAGGCATACTCATGCTATCAGGGTGTGTTTTATATTAATATTTTGAAATATGATTTAACTTTCTTACACAAGCAAAGTCAGTGCTTCTCTATTGATCATAAACAAAGAACATCATTACATTTAGTCTTCCAGCTAGGTCATAACACACTTCTTGGATAACATTAGCTAAAGGGAACATTTAAGCAACTCACATATCATAATAGGTACCTTGTACTCTTTCTATTGCAGAGAGTCTGTCTATCTATCTGTCATATTATTCTGTTTCTAATTGGGAGTATTGCATGAAATATAGAACTGTCATAAAATCTGTGTTTTTAGCTTGCATTCTCTAAAATGTAAACCTATCATTGCCCTAAACTTCCAAGACTTTCTATACAGTTACAACCCAAAAGCAACCTTGTCTTTTTCTTTTTTTTTTCATTCTAAGTAGTATTTTATTTACTAATAAACATTTTATTTTGTCTGAAAAATTGTACAGAAGAAATGGATTGGGATAAAAATGGAATGGTAAACTTCAAGGAGTTTCTTTTTGCTTTTACACGTTGGGTTGGAATCGATGAGGTTGAGGACGAGGAAAACGCAGAGGCCTAAATCATGTCATCTAAATATCTGACGGCCTTTTCAGCCAAAACAAGCAAGAAGGCTTTTCCAGTTTTCCATTGCAATAAATGCCGAGTTGCTACACGTTGAATTTTATTGAAACTATCATTCGTGAAGTTCAATATGTAAATAGTAAGTGTAGAACTAAGTGCTGTAATCAAGAAATATTCAAATTTACGTGTTAAATGCTACCATAGTGATTGTAATGGTTAATGCTGCATTATCTTCCTCGCTTAGTTCTCATTTCTGCTTCGTATTCAACAGTGAATATCCTGTGGTTGTACATTAATGAGAGGCAGACAGGGAAAGTGCATATCTATCTTCTACTCATGGATTTATTAATTATTAACAGACCTTACAAATTCTTCGTTCTTCTTGGATGATAACTTTACGGACAAAGAAGGCATGTTTGCAAGACATGATATAATGGTGTAATAATTACATAATTTATAAAGAATAGCTAATTCAGAGTGTTGCAAACGAGTTTTTATTTCATGGATTATTGTCTTCAAATAAAATAGATTGAAATTTCATTGGGTCATTCTTGTTTCTTTTACGGCCCATTCTTCCTGTATCTCATAGTTTTATCCTGGACTCCTACACTTGTTGTAAAGGACACTATTATCACCATGTGTTTTGAGTATTTTGGAGTGTCATGGAGTGATAAATCTGGAACGTATAACTTTGTAAGTTTTAGATTATGAAATTCCGAACATAATTCTACCATTCTGAAAATATCAGTTCGAGAAGTTTCTGAAAATCTGGAATGTATTGTTTATATTGGCTTATTCTTTCTGTATTCCAGTAATTTTGTAAAATAATATATTTGATTTGCATTTGTGGTATTTTGTAAAATAATATATTTGATTTGCAGTTGTGGTATTTTAGATTGTTGAATCTTGAATATATTTATAGAAAATACAATTTTATACTGAGTTCTAGATAAGGTAATCTGTAACACATTATAGATTTTTTTTTTTTTTAAATGTATTTTGGATTTAACAATTCAATTTTTTTTTTCAAAATATACAATCTGAAAATGAATTTCAAAATTTTATGTAAATTTTTTGGAAGTTTTTTTGAAAATTTTCCAAAAAGATAAATCTGGAAATTTTCCAAAATAAACTTTCAAAAAACTATTTGTGTTAGGAATAAAATTATCTATTGTTTTATCTTATTTTCAATTATGAATAATTTATGTGTTCATCTTTTATACATGTATCTAGTTTAGTATTAATTTAAAAGTGAAATGTAAATGAAATGTTAAGACAAGTAATGCTTTGTTACATTATCTAATATTTTAACTTTTTTTATTTATTATAAAACTATGGATAATTTTTTATAACTAGGATGATTTTTAAAAGTGTGACCTTATAATATCATTAATGGATCATTTTTATATATTATGGATAATAAAAACATGTGATATTGTATTTTTTAAATAACTTATTTTTATAACTATTGACAATTTTGTAATAAGAAAGTAGTTTTACAAAGTAAATGTTGGGTCTTTAGAGGGGATTCACAATAGAGAAATAACATCATTAGATTATGGGTTATACTTTATTATATGTGTTGGAAAATCTAAGTGAGAGTTAAGTTCCTCATAATCAGAGTGAGACGGTACATGGTATGACTACAGATGCATTTAAGGGGATATACCAATGTGAAGGAATTCGCACTTGAGGCGGAGATTGTTGAGAATCCAAGTGTGATTCTAAGTTCTACATTGTGTAAGACTTGTTGGGTCTTTCGAGGGGGATTAACAGGGAGAACCCATCAATAAGACACGAATTCAACCATATAAGGAATTAACACCACTCTCAACAAAAAATCTTAAGGCATTAAGTTATGAGTCATAATTTCTTATATGTTGCTCAATTTTCTCATCCTTACTCAATGTGAAACTTAACTCACACTTGAATTATCTAACAATATGTTGCTCAATTTTCTTATTCTTACTCAACGTGGAACTTAACTCATATTTGGAATGTGAATCAAAACATTAAGATATTAGGTTATGGGTCATACTTCCTTATATGTTGCTTAATTTTCTCATTTTTACTCAATGTGGGACTTAACTCACACTTGAAGAGTGTGAATCTCTTCACATTGGTACATCCCCTTAAGCTCACTAGTGGGTACTTCCATGTACCACCGTTTACCCTAATGGGACACGTTTATCTCCCTCCTCAAGTGTGAGTCATTTCACATTGGTACATCTCCCTCAAGTTCATTAGTGATCCTTCCATGTACCGTCGTTCACCTTAACGGGACACACTTACCTGACTCACTCTGTTAGAAAAACTTTCGATACAAAGATGTTTAGCTCTGATACCACTTATTGGGTCTTTAGAGGGGGATTTACTGGAGAGAATAACACCAATGAGATATGAGTTCGATCCACATAAGGATTAACATCGCTCTCAACCCAAAGGTAATCTAAGTACAGTTATTATAAGAATGAGATATTCGAGTAACATAAAAGGAAATATGATCCATAACCCAATATCTTTGAGTTGAGAGTGATGTCAATCTTGATGTAAGTTGAACTCTTATCTCATTGATGTATTTCTCTCTAGTAAATCCCTTTTGAAAAACTCAACAGTAAACAAAACAAAAAAATACAATTTTACTACCATTATAAAATTACAAGTACGTAAGTTACATGATTTAATCTCATTAATTAAGGCATCCATTTTTTTTTATAGATTTCATTTTGATTTATCTTTATTCCAAACTTTCTCATATCTTCCACTCTCTTTTATATCTTTTCTTCACGTGGATGATTTATTGTTGGATGGAATTTTCAACATTTTGTAACTCACGAGGAAATACTTAACCTGAGAAATCACTCTAATTTTTTTTTTAAATGTTATTAAAATTTTATAAAGATTCTAAAATTTGTATGCATGCAAGATTCTCAAAACTCAGTAAAAATGATGCTCAAATTTAATAAAAACTTATAAAAAATAAAATTGACTAAAACATTTTTTACAATATACTTTATGTTTTAATTATTAATAATAATATTAAAAAAAATTCATAATAATAATAATTAGTTCCAACCCATTTGTAAGAATGATTTTTTTTATAAACAAAAACTCACTAACAAATTTATAGTAGGAGTCATTCTCATGTGTTTATTTCCTAAAAGGTGTGATCTCCGTCATAAAAAAATTATATTAAAAAAGAGTAAGTTTGATTGTATAATTGGATTAAAACTAACAAAATTTTGACTTTTTTTCTTGACTTTTCATGTTGTTTGAGACATATAGTCAAATAATATTTATTATATATTTAAGTATCTCTAAACACTTTAGTTAACACATACTTATAAACATGCGTCTATCTAAAAAAAAGGGAAAAAAAAAGATGAAGATTTAAGTAGAGATTATTGTAACATTATCACATAACTTTACCTTAATCTTGTTTTGCCATCTTCTATGATAAGGGTCGGTTGACTTTCACACATGTAAGGACATTTTTTGGACTTTTGCCATACAATGATACTATTTTTTTTTTCTCTCTTTCTTTGTTTTGCAAGTTGATAAATGATTTAAAACACAAAGAAAAATCTTTCAAAGTATTTTTAGAATTTTTGAAAAATCATTACATGATGAAAATGAGTTCAAGACATGTCCCTTTTTTGTTAGATGTGGTCATTGTTTTACATTTTCTCAAAATCTAACTAATGCTTCTGCATGAAATTGGTTTTATTAGTCATTTTATAATTTTAATAAAACATAAGTTTTTGCTTGGGTTGAGATAAGTGTTGTTTTACACTCAATGGAAGAGAAAAAAAAATGATATTTTCCTAAAAATGTTGCAAGTGAGGATAATTAACTTTCACATCTAATCTTTTAACAATCTTCTCACTCAATTGTCACTTCATTCACAATTTTTTATTTAAATATTTTACGATTTTTCTATTTTTATGCATAGAATGAACTTCTCATTTTTTGTTTAATTAATTTCATGCTCATGCATTATTATATATATATATATATATATATATATATATAATCATAAATAATAATTATTATATAAATTATATTGCATTAACCATTTCAAAATAACTCACTCAAATTACATCTTTTCAATGACATGATCTTAAATAATAGAGGAGGGTGATTTTATAAAAGAAAAACTAATACAAATTTTGTAAAAGAATCACATACAATTTTTTTATAAACCCTAAACAACATAATTCAAATATAAAATATTATATTTTTTATATAAAATTTAATTATATATATTAAGTGAAGATAAATTTTATGGTCTTATTTATTATGATATCTAATTATTTAATTAGTTTGATGATTAATATATTATTAATAAATAATGAAAAATATAAAATTATAAATATATAAATAAGTATATTTAATAATAATAATAATTAAATTTAAGAATCTTTCAAAATATATTAAGAGTTATTAAAATTTAAGGAGTCATGATCTAAATTAGACTTTTGGGATATATATTAGATTAAGTACACAATCTGAACCTTTTTTTTCTTATAATAACATTGACACAAATAAATAAATATATTATTATTAATAAAAAAATGTTAATATAATAAATAGTAATATATTAACCATAAAAATAAGATAAATAATAAAATATTTTTTAGATAATACAAAAAAAATTATACTATTTTCTTTCATTTTTCTACGTAAAATCAATTTATATTTTCATTCTATTTCTTTTCAACCAATAAACTTTATTTTCTACAAATTTTTTTTTTCATTTGTTTTTCTTAGACAATTTTTTTCCTATTTAACAGTCTCAATATATGGAGGTATTTTGTGGGATGAAATTCACTAACTATTGCAAATCAAAATAATTATTTTTTTCTCACAAATTCATATAAAAGAATCATAAATAATTTGGATTTAATTCATTTTTAGACTTAAACGGGCTTGATTTGATGATCCAATCGACAATTTTTTTATAAATTTTCCATTAATACATTTTAGATTCTAGTGCTGGACTCTTTTATCTCATTTCTTGCTTTTCAATCATCCATTTTAAAGTTATGATCTTTTCTAATGTTCAAAAAGTCTTAAAATTTATCATATATTATGATATACCCTTTTTTTATCATATAAATAATAAACAATATAATAATTTTGTAAAACATAAATTTAATTTATAAATGGTAAATAATTCAATGTAACAAATAATATTAATAAAAGTACAGAAAATTTTAAATTAATAGTAAATAAAAACTAATTTAAATGACATATCTTACATATGTACTATATTTCATTAATAAAAAATAAAAAGTTATATCACGTAATCATTTAAAATCTTAAAAATTCACTAAATTATTATATTTATCATTCGTATAATAAACCTAAACCAATGAGTGTTAAAATGTGTGTACGTAATTAATTTTTTTTATTTTTTTTCACCTTTTGAACATATCTAATTTTTTACCAATAATTATCTATCACATTTTTGTCCTCTTATATGTTTATTAATTTTTAGATATATAAAATACATTTTTTTTAAATTTAATATTTTTAGTTTTTTTTATAAAAGGTTATTTTTTATTATATATAGTTGTAGATTACCAAAGTGATTTTTATTTAAATTTAACAACACACAATAATTGTAAATATATAATATAATAATATAATGCAATTTCATAATTTTGTTTTACCGGTGATTTAATGGGAAAAGAAAACAATAAACCAATACCTTTCCCTGTCGTGTGCCCTTGTATCAGTGTTACTGCGCCTCGTTTTCGTTTCTACTAGCGACTCCGAGGAAGGAGTGAACACCAAACCAAGGTAAGTTGTTTTGAGTTCAGGTTCCGCTTTTTTCTCAATTCGCTAATTTTCTATTCGATGCTTTTCTCGCCCCTTTCGCCCCTTCATACATAATCAAACCCCAAAATCCGCTTTCCAATTCGATTACCTTGTTTTACTGTGTTTATAATTATAATTATTTGATAATATGAGGTGATGTATTTGCCCTTCAGTGAACTCACCATTTGTGATTCTGCTCAATTGGGATTCGAAAGAAGGACTCGCATTATTTAACGTTGGATTCAACTTTTAGCTGCTCTCACTCTCTTCTTCAAAAGGTCGTTTCGATTTCCTCTACACTTTGATGTTTTGGGTTATTTCAATTATTTTTTGAGGCCGAGTTTAATGTATTAATGTTATTAGGTTATGTTAGATGAGACTGAGAGCTATTGGGTTATTACTGTTAGTTTTGGTGGCTGAGTTGAGAAACTGGACACTGCATTTTCTGATTATTTGAACGCATTTTTTTATCTGTGACTTTGATGCTTCTCTGTTTCGAGGATGGCCTGAATTGGATAAGTTAGAGTACAAGTTGATGGGGATTTGTATTTGATATGTTTTCTCTATGTCGTGCGAGAACTTTTTTCTTTTTGAGGATCGAATGTGAAGTTGAAATTGGAACTAGAGATTGCTTTTTGAGAATGAGAAATGGTGGAGTAAAGAATTTAGGGTCGTTTCAAAATGTGTTATTTCTTGGGGAATGCCTGACTTGAGGATATCAAGTATTTTTATTACTTTTTGCAGTCTGATGCAAGCATGAGTTCATTCTCCATCACACGGAAAAAAACGCCGTTCCAGAAGCATAGAGAAGAGGAGGAGGCAAAGAAGAAGGTAGGGTTGACATCCCAAGTTAGTTGGTTCTTGTTTGAATTTGGCAAAGCCATTCCTATTTATTATCATGTTGGAATTTGTCTCATGCAGAGAGCAGAGGATGAGACTGCTCGCTTGTATGCTGAGTTTGTAGAGTCATTTCAAGGAGATACTGCTCCAGGGTCAAAGACTTTTGTTCGAGGAGGAACAATTAATCCCAATGATAGATTTAAAGATGATTCTGAGGGTTAGTAATACTCATGAAATTCTGTATTTCTTGCCCCTCTTATTTATATTCCTTTTGCTCCATCTCTTGGAAGCTTGTTCCTGTATGTTATTTATGTTCTTGGATATACATAGCTTTTGCTATTATTTTGTATAATAATGTTAATAAAAGTATGGACCTTTTTTATTCCTTCGCGGATGACAGGTGAAAAGTCCAAAGATGGGGTATCTGTTCCAAAGAAGGGAAGTAGGTAAATAAATGCTTTTGATTGACCATGTTTCTGTGCTCTTTAATTAGGCATCAATAAATAGGGAAAATACATGTCATTAAGGTGTGGCTTTATTTAGGTTTTACTTATAGCCATAACGAATTGGATATTTTAATTTAGATTATGATGATACATTTGATGATGCATGTGTTTTGTAAGTACATTTAATGATTTGGTCGCATGATTAACATTTGGGTGGGGTGGCTGTGCTATAATTTTGGTATGTCAGGGATAAGCTATAGTATTCCCGACTCTCCTAATTGTGACTTGTTCTGTTTGCATAGAAGAAGCGCTTGTTTGGATAGATAACTCAAGTTCCTTAATTCTTATGTCATTGAATGTCATCTCATTTTATAAATTGAAAACAAGACCTAATTCTGGATCTAATTAGAAATTGTCTGTGGGAACTGAGAAGTAAAGAATATAGAAATTCTTTGCTTACAGAGACATCTTTAATGCCCAATTAAATTCTTTGTGTAATTTAGGTGAATGTATTCATAATTGTTGAAGGCAAACCTGCCTATGTCCCAGTCAAAGTATTATAAGTCAATATTCTTGCATTGCATCCTTTCATGGACATCTGATGAAATTGGAATGATAGTATAGTAGATAAATCATTATCCATTAAAAACTATACAAGTGACTTTCTAGTCATTCGTTAAGGAACTTTGGAGTTATGATTACTTAGTCACTTAGTGGAATGGTTGATCTTATTTGTAGTTTCATTTCATTTTCCTTGCAATTATGAATTGTTTTTTAGTTTTTTTTTTTTTAAATGGATAAAACATGTTACTTGTCATTTCATATGGGTACATTAGTTTTGTAAAGCTGTTGAAGTGAGATGCTTGAAGAGTACTCTGTGTTACTGGTTGAGACTGTGCCCTTTAGTTTGGTTGATTCCGTTGGTGCCTTAGGTGCACCTTTCTGGTTTAGGCGAGGTGTGCCTTTATCACCTTATTGATAAAATTAAGAACTTCAAAATCTAGTTGCTAATGGTGATTAATGAAGCAGAATATATGTTATATGATAAAATATAATTTATGAAATGTCTATTTGTATTAGAATCTGTCACTATTAACATTCTGCTGAAAATATTGGTCTTTTCCTGACTGGTCATAATGTGGAAAAGTCAGAGAGAGAAGCATGTGGCTGTGTTTACACACAGAGAGAATTTTTTAAGAATACACACTCAACCTGGAATGTTTTTACTTACATGACTGAGTGGCTTTCCAATTGACAGTGATCATTGTGTCATTAGGGACATTTCTCCGGACTAGAGTGCTTGACAATTCTATTTTCTCCACCATCTTAGGGAATGGGATATTCCTCTATTTTCTCCACCATCTTAGGGAATAAAATATTCTTCTATGTTCTCCACCATCTATTGTGTCTTTAGGGAGTATTCAAGAGCTTGGTTCTCCCCCTTTATGGCTAGCTTCTAAGAGAGGGTTCCCAAGTGCTTGAATACTCATCAAAATGCTGCAAAAGTTCAATGGTCTTCTTATTCCTTTCCCTGAAGGCTTTGATATCCTACCAGATAACCACTTCCCCTCCTTCTTCCCCCTTTAGCATCATTTTTACAAATTTTACACCTCACTATCTGCCTTGTGTATTTGGTGGTCACAGTGCAAATTCTGATCTTGATTCACAGTTACCTTGTCCTTGTTTCCTAAGAAATCTTTACTGTCTGTACGAAACCTAACAGTGAGCTTTCTGGTTTATAAATGCTTGTGTTTATTTTAGAGATCTAGCATATAGCTTAACTAGTAAAAGCAACAGTTAAAGATACGACTACATAAACAGGGAAAATTTGTATAGCTGTAATTTAGCGGTTGAGTTTTTAGTTTCTTTCTTTCCCTAATTGTATTGTTATTAATCATTAAAAATAGAGGATCCTGTGTGGTTCGATGCACACAATTCTTATAATCACTTCTATATGGTATCAGTTGACTAGGGTTCTTTTCTATCCCTTATGCTCTTTTGTGCATGGTATTTGTGGTGAACAATGTCTTGCCTTCTTCCACTTTTTGGCAGCCACTAGTCTAAGCCTTGTTTGGGGAGCAACACCCCATCACTATTGCACCTCTCTAGTACTTGCCACGTTGTCAAGTGTGTCACCAAACATTGTTTTATGTGCCCCTATCACCCTCACCCCTATGTGGCTACCCTTTTCTAGTACATCTGGTTTACATGCATTGTGATACTTTTTTGGTGATGGATGTTCAAGTCGTACTTTCATAAAAAGATTTATCAATTAAAAAAAATTTATAGTTAGGGTTTTTTTCCATCCTAGTTTCAATTTCATGGAATCATTGACTATTAGAAACTTATCAAACATGTACTGTGCATCAACTATTAAAACATTAGGGAGATTTTTTCAAGATTAAACCAAAATTAAGAACATAATTAATAGACATCAAAACAAAATAGAATTGAAACAAAATCAAGATAAAACAGAATTAGGAATGGATTGAATGAATAAAAACAAATTAATTCTCTATTTTGATTATATGATCAATTATCACCAATTAAATTGATTCAAAATTGATTAATATAGCATTGGTCAATCTAGGCGAAATCCATATAATAGGTTTAATCAAATAGCTTTCCTCAATTTGAATAGTTATTAGATAACTTAAAAAACGAATTAAAGTGATTTAAAATCTAATATCTTAAAATCGATTGCAAAATTGTTGTAAGAAATTAATCCTCGAAGATTCAAGCTTCGACAGAGGATGAACAATTATGTGAAATGAAAAAAACATTTCAAATGTAGAGAGAAAATATGAGAAGAAAGAGAGTACAAATTTTGAAAATTAAAAATGTGATTATTCAAATTCCTATTTAGAGCTTCATTGATCACTTCACAATCTCTAATTAGTGGTAAACAGATGTGCATTGGTTGTGGCGCAAATATGAAACCAATTACAAATGTCCTACTGTAATTCCGCATAGAAAAATACAGCAAATCTGCATAAACATCAAAATATCATAGAATATGGTAGAAAACTCCAAATTTAGCAAATCATATGTTTGTTTTGAAGCTCAAGATGCGAAGAATTTAATGAATGAAGAATCAAGCAAAAATAATGCCTACAGCAAAAGTTGTAAGCAAAATAGTAGATAGAGGTGAGAATAACTAACTAACAATAAGAAATTAAAGCATTTATTCAAAACATACCCAATTTATTACCAATGACATGTAGAACTCTAGAAAATAAAGCATGTGAAAGGTACTTTGAACATACAATAAAGTTATAAATGTGAATACAAAAAATGTATTACCAGTGACACCCTTTGATTGACAACCTATTCTTAACGTTTCTCTGTCTCCGATGAACATGTTAAGCTCCTGTTTGGCTCTTTTCTCATGGCCTCCTCTGGAATCCCTTTAGATTCTGCCTCAGCTATGAATATTCACAAACATCCTTCTGACGAACTTGTTTCCAATTACAATGCTATCACTCATTGTCCAGCTATGGTTGCAAGATCAAGGCTGTGTTGACCACTTAGGCTATGAATCTTCTTGTCAAGGATCAAGCTAGTTGGTGGCATCTTGTTGCCTTTTTGTGCATCATCCTTTGGTTATCTCTTGTTCCCGGTCTTCAACCTCAATACCAGGCATTTCCAACTTGTTATAAGGTTTGGGCAAAGGCCAAAAAAGTTTACTCCAATGCTATAGCATTCTAATTGCTATGCTATGCACCAAGCTTGAAAATGTGGATATGCAAACATATCTTGGTAAGCTCAACCATTTGATATTTTATTAGGACAATATGATGCCCTTTACTACTAGTCCTTGTTTTGAAGTGTTTATGAATAAATTATCTTACATATTTTCTATTGTCAGTGCTTACGAGAATGTTGTGAAAAACTTGTACTAATATCTTTTGAATATATGTAAGATATTTTGAGCTTATTTAAAATAAGTTGTATGTAACTACACTAGCTTATCCACAACAAGTTATACTAAGCCTCCCTTTTTTAAGAGTTACGATATTTAAGTACTTATGAGAATGTTGGGCAAAAACTTGTTCTAAGCTTAAAAATATTTGTCATTTGGTTATGATATTTAAATTGATTTTCTTTTTCTTTTCTTCTTTCTTTTCTCTTCCTTCTTGTTCTCTATAGTTTGTAATCCAAGTGTCATCACTATACTGTCCCAATCCTCCTCACGATTGATGCACTTCTTACACATGTTATTTGATGAACTATATGTTATTGTCAGTCATCAACAATTAAACTCTATGTTGGAGATCCCACATTGTCTAGAGATATGGTCAAATTATAATATTTAATTGAGGTGCAAACCTCATCCTTCAAGCCATTTTTATAAGGTTGAGTTAAATACATCTCTATTTTTTATATGGTATCAGAGTCTATTCTAACGAGGTTTGTTGGGATATCACTCTACCGATTAGGCTGTTGTTAGGCCATACTTAAATATTCAATTCTATGCTCTCGAAATGTTCATTCGTTGGCGTGAAAGTGTGTGTTGGAGTTCCATATCGATTAGAGATATAGTCAAATTATAATATATAATTGAGGTGCAAACTTCACCTTATAAATCAAATTTGTAAGGGTGGGTTAGGCATATTTCCTTTTCTAATATTTTACTCCATTTTGTATGACAATAGAACCTGTATCCTATTTCACTATCTCTTTGATTGTACTTGTTTTGTCCATTATCTTACTTGAGGTATAGATAAACTGGTTGTCAAGTCTCTTATGTGTGTTTTTCTTGGTTACTCTCACGTGCAAGGATATTGTTGTTTTTGACCCTAACTTCAAATGATATATTTTTTCTGCTAATGTCATTTGCTGTGATCTCATCCATTCTTCTTTTAGCTGCTATCAATGATGTCCCTTTGTGTTCCCCATGTTATTCCAGCCTTGGTTATTATTGTAGCTTCATCATCACTAATTACCTACCAATGATGATTGTGGCTTTTTTGGATGGTTTCACCTATTGATCCTTCAATATCATCTTATTCTCTAAATACTCCTTCATTGACATCTCCTACACATGAGCTCCCTTTTGCCCTAATCAAAAGTATTTGGTCCCCTTTCATTCCTAACCCGTTATCTATACTCCTCATTATGATTGACTATCTTCTTATTTATCCTTTATTTTCTCTTCGGATATTGTGCCTATTCCTAAATCTACAAGTGAAGCCATGTTTGATTTCCACTGGTAATAGGCAAAGTTAGAAAAATGGCTGTTTTACAAGCTAGTGGCACCTGGGAGCTGGACTTGTTCCCTCCTTCGAAGACTATCATTGGCTGTCATTGGGTTTACACAATGAAGGTTGGATTGGATGGAAATATTGATCGTTTCAAAGTGCACTTTGTGGCTTAGGGATATACTAAGATCTTTTGGCCTTGACTATGGCTACACCTTTTTCCATTTTGTAATTCTTGTCATTGCTGGCATTTGCCATGACCATTTCACTTTTTGATATTGAGAATGGCTTCTTGCATGAAGAGGTTTATATGGAGCATATTCTTTATTGTTCCGATTTTGATGGCTGTCACCTTGTATGTTGACTTCTATTATCCTTCTATGGCTTAAAGTAATCTCCTTGTGATTGGTTTGGAATGATCACTTTGTCTCTTAACCTTTATTTTTCGTTTGGCTTGTGCATTTATTTGCTGGTGCATGTTGATGACATATCTTTATGGGTGATGGCTTTGATGCTTTCCAAAAATCAAGGCACACCTTCACAATCAGTTTCAGATGAAAGGTTTGGGTACACTCATGTTTTTTTAGGCATTGATGTTGCTCCAATCCACCTCTGACATTGTCATTTCCAAGAGAAACTATACTCTGTATATTCTCATCCTAGTGTCGCTTCTATGGACCCCTCACTAAATTTAGTTATAGTTAGTACCTCAGCATCATTGCTTCCTCCAACATTTTGCACAAATACTGAAACAATACATATTTTCAGCATTTTTTTCCCTGCTACACTTAGCCAGTAGCAACAAAATATCTAAATGAGTTAGTGCTAATTCCAAGATTAACATAATTTCCCACCAAAGCACAACTTGCTGAATATGATAGTGAATAGGATTGAAGATCTAAATGTAAAGATTTTTTAGTGCCATCCTTGAAGTAGGAAACCATGTTTCCAATATTTCGTGGTGTAGGAAAGGCTTGCAGCCTTTACAAAACAGCCAAGCACGTTCTTTGCATATGCTTTTCAAAGAAATGGAACAAAGGATTTAAGGGGTAGTTTATATTCCAAATTGGCTCATATTTTGGGGTGAGGTGGGAGTTATGTAGTTATCCCTTGAAACTTAGGGTTTGTGTCTTTGGTAATTTGGTGTATAAGTTCCACTATTTTGAAATCAGACCGGACCGGTTAGTTCAATCGATTGAATCAGGAATCAGACTGGAAACTGGTCTTAGTTGTTTCCAAATAACCAAACTTTAATTAAACCGGGATAAAACCAAAAACGGTTAAGTTTTTGGATCGAACCGGTTTTGGTATAAAAAAAATTAGGATCACATTTTTTTAATATAATTTTTTAATAAAAGATATAATACATTTTAGTTTTATTTTATCTCATATTATTTATGTTAATTTTAAATAATAGTTATTTTATTATATTTTTATCTTGTTTTAATAATTATCCATCTTTCACTCTCTAATGTATTTTATATTTATAACTTTCATTATAACTTATGGTAACCATGACAATAATCTTTATAATTTTTCTTTCTTTTTATAAAAAATATTATTATTAATAAATTTATTATATTATTATAAAAATATTTTATTAAATTTGGTTGGACCCTTGTTGAACCTTTAAACCCTGAACCTATGTCTTCACCAGTTTGGTGATTGGTCCGGTTTTAAAATCATTGATAAGATCAACATGCTGGTGGGTAAATGGCTATGACATTTTCCATTGGAACCTCATTCTCCTAGCTATCAAAGGTTCTGTATGGCTTATAGTCAGTGGTCTTTTAACCCTTCTGGGATATTTTCTTGCAATTCCAATTCTTATTCTTTTCTTGAACGAGGCTAACATAATGATAAATCCCTTTTGGGGTCTAAATCTCCCTCTAACATCATACCTTTTATTTGGACTGTGGCTTGATATAATTGATACCAATGAAATATTTTGCAGGTAAGTAGGATACGTGTGGTGCCTAAGCAGTTCCATATTTCAAGCTTAATGCTATTTATTTATGGAGTTCCTTATTTTTCCTTTTTGATAAATGTTGTACCTACCACTTTTTGATAACAAAAGTATATGATTCCTTTGGTAGAAGTCACGAGGCAATTTTTTTTTTTTTTTTTTTTATGGCTATGTGCAACAAGTGTTAGTTTTTTATGCCTTTAGTTGGAGCCAAGCTAGTTAAAATTGAGAGTCTACTTAGGATCAAGGTTAGGGAACATACCAATTGCATAATCATAACACACAATAGTTAGACCTACCTAAAATACAAAATTGCATTGAAACATATGCATATGCATAAATCTTGAAAATTACCCTAAAATAACTATTAAGTTTAAATAACCTTTAGTCAAATATACTCTAATAGTAAACTCACAACATAAGCTAAAGTAACAAGTTAACAGTTCCAAAGATAGAAAACATAATTTAATTGACAACGTATAAAACTCATTATGTTGGAGACATCCAAAACAGTCAGACCAACACATCACCAAAATAATCAAAACAGGTTCAGAAATGGAGAAACAAAGCATAGCATAGCAGTAACAATTGAACCAGCACACCACCAAAACAGAAGAACACAACCCATATTGAACTCAAGCATAAGCAAATAAGTTGAACTCAAACTGAACACAGAAGACACAAATTACCAGAACAGTGAAAGAAAATAGGACACGCGAAAATGAAGGAGTGATTGGAGCTCTATTGTTTTTGTTGAATGGGTCTTCAGAAAATAGAAGTGGATGTCCTTTTTTTTTTTTCTCCCTCGATCCTTTTAAAGTGGGTTATGAGCTGCACGGTGTGATTGGCTAATCCAGCCAATCCTATAGGTCAAAACCTTTGATCTTAGTGATCCTTCTAAAATGAGTCACGCATCAGGATCAATATTGTTTGTGACAGTGAGAGAAATCATTAAATTATATGATCTAAAGTAATATTTATTTTTATTACTGTGATTGGATGAAGTGCAGATCTCATATGCCTTATATCTACATGACACTTTTGATTTGGGAACTTATCTCAGTTTCTGTATAAAGTACAACCTTTTTAATGGGGTTCCTCTGACATATGAATTTGCGCAGTTTTGCTCCATTGATTTTTCTGTGTATTCTTTGTTGTTTTGTTTCTTGAGTTTATGTTAATGAAATTTCTCTTCCTCAAGATTCTTAATTGTTTTCCTCTTCACCTTAATGGGTTTATTCTTTTATTGAAAACTCAAAAAAAGTACATTTTGTATTAAGAAGTTTTGTTTTGGTTGATAACTTTTTAGCTGTATACTATGCTTGATGAGACTTTTCTGATTAGCATTTGAGTGGT